AGACTCATTTTCATGACAGACTCAACGCCCAACCAGGCAACTTGGCCCTACGCTATCCAGCAGCAGCACTACTTCGAGCTTGAGCTTTAACTCCGCAGATGCAGAAAGGGCAGGCAAAAGGATACCATTTGGAGCTGCGGACAGGGTTGTAACCCCAAACAGACAGCAGTGCTGGTCCCCAGATAGATCCCTTGTTCATTTTTGGCCCCCACAATGGCCATCACATTGTTGTGCAAGCGGCCCCACTGCTGGCCATCGCACACGTTGCATGTCGAAGTGAGTATGGAAAACCAGAGCCACACAAAAGCACGGAAGGGAGCAGCCTAGCGCCTGGTGACAAGCACCCTGACTGTCACAGCGCACAGCTAACACCCTCCGCGCCACCATCCACCACATCCAGGCTGCAAAGAGCCAACATACAGTTTCGACGACCTCCCAACTCTGAATGCCCCACTTGCCTGCAAATCCCAAGCAGCACCAGCCAAAGCCCTCCCCTTCCCCCCCCCACACCCCTCTCGTCAGCACCAAGCCTGCCGCCCACGATCCTGCACACAGCCGTCGACCCCCGCAACGAAACATGCTGCAAACGAGCAAGGTCTTCTGTGCTCAGCCATGGCACCTGTGCAGCAGACTCCCACATTCACAGACGATTACCGCCGCAGATCACTCCCCCCTTCTGCACCCACATGCCACCGCTTCATCCGAACGATTCCTTCATGAAGTCGAAAGTCACCCGCTGATCGCTGTGCTTCTTGACCTGTGCAGCAAGCACCTTGGCCAGAGGGTTGGGCCCGCAGTAGAATACGCCGATGCTGCTCTCCTCGGGGTGGGTGCGCTTCACGTTGGTGAACACCTCGTCCCAGTTGGGCCGCCCGAAGTGAGTGATGGCACGCGTTTTGAGGGTAGACACTGCGTCCCCGCCCTCCTGGTCAGCCTTGGCCTTCTGCGCGAGGCGCAGCAACATCACGCGCACGTCATTGGCCTTGCGGATGGAGGTGACGTGGATGTTGATCTCCAGCAGGTTGTCTGTGTCCTCTTCAGAGATAGCCTCCAGGAGGTGCTTAAACCATATGGACTCCATCCTCAGGCGGACTGTCCAGTAGAAATACACCTGCTCGACGGATTGCAAGTGCATCACTCAGGCTATCCAGCCGCCAGCCATTCAATCAATCACTTGAGTGATGCAATAAAAAGAAGCCCGACAGAAAGATTGTGCGTTGAAGACAGTGCAACAACAGAAGACAAAGAACCTCTGTTTGGCGTTGATGAATTAAGCGATGAGAGCCAGAGCAACAATGAATACTTAATATTGTGAAACTGGGGATCAATAAATGCCATGCAGTCGGATGCATTTCCCTCCTTATGAAAACAGCCTGCCATCAACTTCGCCATGCTCAGCTTTGTACAGTATAAGTGTTGCCTTCCCTCGCGTGCATTGTGACACAAAAGCTGGGAAAGACAATAACTACAGCTGCCTCACCTGTTTGACTTTGAAGGCATCCGAGGTGGCCCCACACCGTTGGCAGCGGTACTGCCGCATCTTGTCCAGGAGGTCGTTCAAGACAGACGCCATGGGCGTCACACCAATCCCTGCCCCCACCAGTATCATCACTGAGTACTGGGTGTGGTCCTGTGCTGGGGCGCCAAAGGGCCCATCCACGAACACCCTGAAGGGGAACCTCTCTTGTACATACTCGGTCCCGCCGGCCACAGGCCTTATGGCCACCCGCGTGATCGCCGTCAGCCCATCCTCGATGTTCTGGGCGCCCTTGCTCTTGTGGTACTCCTGGGTACGCTTGTGCAGCTCCCTGGTCCAGTCGCCTGCTGCACGGATGTGGACACTGATGAAGTTGTCGCCTGGGGAAGATGTCATGGTGAAGGGGTGCCACTCAAACCAGGAGATCTCAGGGACCTGGATGAACACATACTGGCCCGCCTTGTACCTGAGAGTGGACAATTTTGTGGTCAGCTCAGTTCCAATCTTAACTGCTTGGACAGTGCGTGATCCAACAAAGTGGAACAGAGTTTTGCTATTCACCTGTGATATGTGTTAAACATGGCTTCTATCACATTCTGGAATAAGAAAACAGATTTCCAGGCCGCATGTGCTGATTGCAACAGCCCACTCTACCCCACTCCCTCTGGGCATACACCCAATATGGGCATCTGGCATGGTGAATGTGGCGTTGACCGAACACTCTTGCGCTCTCACACAGTCGCTCCCAGGCACGGGAAGCGAGGCCGTAACCAGATGCATTCAGGATGAGTGTATCAGCCTAAATAACAGTCACTGCAAAAATATTCACTTCCCCATCTCCATTGTCCCCACGTACATCAACCATAACACCATGTTCACCACATTCACTTCCCACCATTAAATGCCATATATCACATATCACATTTTAACCGTTCCCTCACCCTCACAGTGAATGTGCCCAGGAAATCACCGCACAGTTCCAACATCTACCAGCACCGTTCAGCAAGGAAACAGGAAGGGCACAACATACCTGAACCTCGGCGGCTTCATGACCTTCAGTCCCACCACGTTGCCCGGAAACAGGTCTGCGGCCATCACACGGGTGTTGCGCCTGGTCCCCAGCGCCCTGTTGATCCGCTCGCCCAGGTATATCAGCACGGGCACCATGATCCACAGGTAGGCGTCGCTCACGTTCCACTCGTAGCGCTCCCCTGGCGAGTCCGGCACCGGGTGCAGCAGCATCGCCACGTAGAACAGGGCGAACAGGTGGTGGGTGTACCAGAAGTTGTTGAAGTTGTTGAGGAAGCGGCCCAGCCTGAGCACCATCCCGCGCATGCCCGGCACCTTCTTGCCCCGCTCGCCAGGCTTCTCCCTGAACATGGCCAACTTCCTGGGGTAGTCGAAGGCGAATATGGCAGCGATAGTGTAGATGACAATGAGGATGACGCCGGTGACCCCGAACCAACTCCCAAGCAGCTCCCACACCGTGGGCTGGGACGACCTGTCCCTGAACAGGTACCGCGGCACGCCCGACTTGAAAATCTGCTCGTTCTGCAGAATCTGGTCCGTCGTCTGGTAGACGTCGAAGTCCCCGTCCCTGGTCATGGCCTTGGTGAGGATCTCCTGCGCCTGGTCGTCGGGCAGGCGAAGAATGTTCTCGTCGTCGTCGTCCACGAATCCCGGCGGGCCGTCGTCATCCTCCGCCTTCACCACCAGGTTGTTCAGCAGCGCCAGGCTGCTGCCGTTGTTCTTCGTGATTTCGCGGATCTCGTCGATCTGGGCCTTCAGGTCGATGAAGCTCTCCGTGTTCGTGACGCTGCCGGGGTCGTTGAGGTCATCGTCCGGGAAGGCCCAGGACCAGCGCGAGAAGCGGCGGCGCTGCACCCAGCGCACCACGTCGACGATGTGGCAGATGGTGTGCGTCCAGGCAAAGAAGAACCCAGTGTAGCCCACCACCTTGTGGAACTCGATGGCGTCGTCGAACCGGAATATGTGCTGCAGGAAGGTCGTGCGCAGGGCGGTCATGAGGTTGCGGGACACGGGGAAGAGGATGAGCGTGAAGATGCACTTCATCGCCTGGCCGCAGCCCTTGGCCACGGGCAGGGTCCAGCTCAGGAGCACGCGCTTGCGCGAGTCCTGGCAGCCGATGGGGTCCTGCTTGGTCATCTTGGAGCTGAAGGACATGTACTTGGCGTCCTCCACGGATATGCGGTGCGCAAGGAAATTCTGCGAGCTGTCGTTGGTCGCAGCCTGGCTCGCCTCCATGATGGCGTTCCAGGCGTCCCGCACCTGCGAAGGGGCGCGGAGGGGCCGTTACGACGCAAGGGGCGCCGACTAAACACTCCCGATGCCCGGGCGCGCATCGCCACACGGGTCGCGGGGGCTCTATTGCGACCGATGACAATGTTTTGCTCTGGCGGCCCCGCGCACCACGGATCGAAAAGCCGCCGGAGCGCGGCAATGCCAGCGAGGAGCAAAGCAACGTTTCAGGCGCCCCCAATGCCAGCAAGCTTCCCATTCAAAACACAAGGCCCCAATCGCGCCCCGCGAGCCAATTCCCCCTCCCGAGGTTCCTTGCGCCCCACACCTGGGTTCTGGACAGGTAGGTGTTGGGATCCGGCTGGCCCAAGTTCACGCCCTCGCACTTGTGGGCGTACCGGCTGAAGCGCCAGAAGAAGCACGCCAGCACGGCCAGGTAGAAGAACGTGTAGGTGAAGGTCAGCTGCGGGTTGTGGGCCATCCAGTGCAGCAGCGGGAAGCGGCTCTTCTTGGGGCGCGGGGGGCGGGACTGGCGCTCCTTGCGCGTGCCGGTGATGACGCCCTCCAGGGAGAAGCCCTCCAGCACGTCGGGGTACGTGGTCAGGACGCGCTCAAACTCCGGCAGCGTGAGCTTGCCGTCCTGGGCGTCGAACAGCTGCATCAGGTTCTGCGTGAGGGACTCGACCTCGCTCTGGGGCAGGTCCGCCGTGCTCTCCTCCACACTGGCGTGGAGCACCACCCGCAGCTCCTCCTCGCTCAGCAGGCCGTCCCCGTCCTGGTCGAACACCTTGAAGATGAAGGCCACGCGCTTGCTGGAGTCGCGCGTCTGCAGCGTGTGGATCGCGTTCAGGAACTCCTCGAACGAGATGTCCTTGGAGTGGTCCACGTCGATCGCGTCGAACAGGCGCTCCGCGTAGAACCGGCTGCGCGTGTTGGTCATCTTCAGGAACTGCTGGAAGTCCATCCGGTCGCTGCCCCCCGTCAGCTTGTTGAACAGGCTGCGCATCCCCCCCTCAAGATCCGCCCGCGACTGGGCATACAGCTCCGCCATCTCGCCCTCTCACTCCTTCCCGCCCGGGTGCCACACCAGCAATGAGCAATCACCGATTCCCCGCCCGCGGGCCCCCCGCCAAAAACACAGGCGCGGAAAATACAGCCGCGCCCGGCGCCTGCCGGCCGGCCGTCCGCGGCGGACGAGGCTGCCCGCCGGGGGCGCGGAACCCAACGAGAGCAGGTGGGCTGGACTCGTGATGCAGATGCCCTGCAGGCGGGCCCACCCCCGGGCTTTTATTTCGCCAGCAATGGCGGGCGGGGTCGACGTGTGACCGCCGGGCCGGACCCGGACCGGGCGGTCACACCGAATCTGTGAACCGCCCCCCGCGAGCGGACGCGCGAGGGGCCAGCCAAATCGTGCGTAATACAGAGGGTGGGCGGATCGCATGCATTTCCAACCCGCCGAGAACCGGGGGATGTTCGCCACCGTTTTCCGTGTGAAGATGCATAAAAGTGACGCCACACTGGCGCCTGTTGCGAAGCGGGCGCCGGTGGCCGTCTCTGCACCCTCAGGCCGGATGTGTGTGAGGGTTTATGTTCGGGTTGGGGAACGCCGTGCGTCGGTTTTGGTGTGGCCAGCGTCACATTTGCGCCGGCTCTGGGGCCCGCCCACCGTACGCGTCATGTGACTCGCGGTTCGCTCAGCTGACCGGAAGCTGAACTAAGAATGCCTCCACGGCGTTCTGTGCAAGCCGCGGAGGCCCGTGTTTCGATATTGCAGTGCCTTTGGTGTGGTTTACCGGCTCTTCATGCTGTTGGCGACTTCGCTGCGGCTGACGGGCTGAATGGACAGGCTGGGGAGCCTCCCGCGTCGAGACAACGCGTCGCGATCATTTGATCACGGACTGATGCGATCAACGTAGCGTGATTCTGGTTCGTCACTTGTCATGGTTGCTCCTCCCAAGGGGCGGCGAGGCTTGCTGCCCCCGACTCAAGCGACTGGGGAATTGATCGCTCGTTCCATTTTCGGCATTGGTTGGGAGCAAAAAATTCACAGGCTGCACGGCTTGCGTCCTTCGGCGCTCCTTCCACAGACAGCACTCGTCCATCAGGTATGATGTTTTCTCCGCGACCCATGCCAATTGATATTCACGTCGCTAGGTAATAGAACCCGCCCCTTCATACGTCACCCATTCACCACATGAAATCACACTGCCCAGGATAGTCGAAGAAGAAATAAACTGCAAATGTCGTGAGGGAAATAAACGTCGTGAAGTCAAGTTAAGTAGAGTGGCCGACCCTAAAATGCCAATGCTGCCCTTAGGATAGCAACCTCTACTCTCCTTTATTGTGTAGCTGTCGTGCTCTGATCTGTGGGCGCAAAACCAACGCAGGTGGGGAGGCGCCGGGGCCAAAATGGAGAGTGCTCAGCTGTTAGGAAACAGAGGTAGCAATTGTACCCCAGGGTCACTGTGGCTGAATTTCGAAGCCTTTCAGAACATGGCATTCAACTGCTCGCTACAACTAAGAATATTTTTAATGAGATGTAGTTTAGAAGAGAGCCGCGAGCATGTACAACACTCAATACTGCCCCCTCGCCCTCAAGCAAATGCGCCAACAAATGTGCACAGAAGGCTGACGACAAGCAGCGTCAGCTTCTCAGGTGTGCATCATATATCACCATGATCCATCTGTGCCGCACATTTTCACCAGCTCATTGAACACATCATCTAATACAAGACATTCAGTTCTGTTCTTTTGTGCACCCAGACCATCCAAGTGCTTTCGTCATTTAGAGTGATGCACGCTTCGGAAAATAATTCCATCCGGTGCATTCGGAAGAGCACCGCCTTGCCGCACGGCATGTTCTGTAGAATGGCACAGCTCACATGTGACTTACGGTATTCTGGAGCACACACTGTGCGGTATGTACGGTGCGAGACTGTATGTTGCGTGGTTGCAACGTGCTCAAGCAGCGGCAGTGTATGTTCTGTAGAATGGCACAACTCACATGTGACTTACGGTACTCTGCAGCACACACTGTACGGTATGTCCGGTGCGGAGCAGTATGTTACGTGGTTACAACATGCTGAAGCAGCGGCTGTGAAGATGCGCTCGGCAACACTCCCTCGCGTTTGCATACTTTCCATACCATCTTCCTGCAGCGTGGCATCAATTGCGCAGCTTTTGAGACGGTCATCTGCAATCAATGAGTGGAAGCTCTTTAACGTGGTGCCGCAAAGCAATGCCCTGGCATCTGTAACGAAGCCACATTTTCCTTCTCCCAGGTGGTTTCAGAATCTTTGTTGGTGCCTCATTCCCCCGAACATCCCGGCAGACCTGGCCTCCCGGCTTCAAGGTTAGCAAGGCCGACCTCCAAAACAGGCGACAGACAGCTCACAGCTGTGCTAACGGGGCCCTATGTGCGGCTGCGGAAAGAGATTTATTTTCGTATCCACGAACTAGAAGGAAAAGGAATAGAGAGGAGATGTGGATATAAAATTGTGGAGTGGCAGCACCGAAGCTGATCCGTGTTCAAACTTTCCAAGCTTAAATGCGGCGTATGCGCTTGTCGACGGCGGTTCGTGCTGCCACTCTGCCCCTCATGCGCCGACGGCATCAGCCCCCATCCGAGCTCAATGTTCTCCATCTCCAGCTTCGCAGTACACTATCATTGATACATCCATAATAATGTCGACATTTTGCATGAAAAGTCCTCGGGATACCGAGAATGTAGCAACTGGACAGCGTGCCTCGCGATCTCGTGATGCTTCGATAATTTGCGACATTTCGATGTACGTTTAAACGTACATAAATTTATGTGCCTACATCATCCCCCCCAAGCGTCCGAAATGGCGTTGCAGATACGATGCAGGAGCCTTTCGTCAATTGTAACTTGAGAGCGCAGCCTTGCTGCCGCAAGTATATCTCAACGGGGCGCATACTGCAACGCAGCAGTTCCTTGTTTTATTCGGAGCTTGCCATCCATGCGCTCCAGCCCTCGATCAATTGGATGAAACGGAACAAGAGCAGTCCCTCCTACCTCCCTCCCCAACCTACTGCTGCAGCACAGCGAAGTAAATCGCTGCCGTTGACCGTTTGAATCGTGAATCAAACACGCATTTAAAAATCTCGAGCATTACAGGTGATTTAACTATTGATCGCAATGATGGCCGCGGTGTCGCAAATATCTTATGTTGTTTTATGCGACATCAACAACATGGGTTAGTACGGGATAAGAGAAGGTTTGCCTGATAAGTAGATAAAATTTGTCTGCAGAATGGAACGGATTTTCAAGTGGGGAAAGCACCTGACTAAATCAAACTCGTAAATTAAATCAACAGTACCCACTTGAGTACAGAATATGCAATACTTAGAAGAACTTCATCGTGCAAGCTAAGCCAATCCAAAATATTCCTCTCATGGAAGAAAGGGCAAGCAAATTATACAAGTTACTGCCCCTCATACCGCTTTCCCCAAAACAGGATTCAAACAAAATCGCGCACAAGGTGTGCGCTTTTCTAATGTCGTTCACTTAGTCTAGTGGATGTAGATCTTGCCAAAATCCAACATATTTTTTTGATTAGTAGTGATGAACAAGTGAATGAGTAAATAGAAAATACATAATAAGAATGAAAAACAATCAATTAACTAGTAAGCAGATTGCTTAATGCACAATACTACCGTGCCTTTCCAGAGTGTGTGTGCATTTTCATTCGCTTGAAATTCCAAAGTGAGCTGATTTCAGCAATGATGAATATCCGCTCAAATGCATTAAGCCGCAGTAAAAATATGCGGACCAATGTAAATTCGTCCACGTGATGAAACTGCAAACAATGTTGCGTAAGCACCTAAGCATCATCTCTTCGGAGGGTGCCGGGTCTGCCTTTCCACTTTGGGCAAACGCAATCAGTAAACTGCGCAGCAACACTGTCGCTGCAAAGAGCCCGCGCGCGCTGGGCTAGGTGAGTGGCAGGTTTTTGACCTCAGCTTACAACCAAAGCCCCCCAAGAGACATCGGACTCGCCCCACGCACAAACACCACAATTTGGCATCACGCCGCGCCTTCAAAGCCGCGCACCTGTTCCCCGAGCACCGAAGCTCCCTCCCACCTAGAACACCTCCTTCATGAAGTCGAATTTCATGCGACTGGTGCTGTGCCGGTCGCAGTGGCCCTTGAGTACCTGGGCCAGGGAGTTGGGCCCGCAGTAGAACACCCCCAGGAAGTGCTCGTCGGCGTGGAGTGCCTTGATGCGGCAGAACACCTCGTCCCAGTTGGGGCGGCCGAAGTGGGTGAGCGCCCGCGTGCGCATGCCGCTCAGGGCGTCCACGCCCTCTCGCTCCACCTCCTCCTTCTGAGCCAGGCGGAGCAGCATGACGCGGACGTCGTTGGCCCGCCGGATGCTGCGCCACGTGTATGGGTGCATTCGTCAGCGTCTGGAAATATGCTGGACGCTGATGCAACATTGCGGCTGCGTTGCCATTGCTGCAATGCCCGACAGCGCTTCAGAAAGTTTCTGTATATCATGACTGTACCGTATCATTTTCAACCCTTCCGCAGGCTTTTGCACTGCATTTGCGTTCAGAGCTCAATTTTTTAATATTGCTTCCCAAAATTGTTCTGAAAAGAGCGTTACTTACTTTACTGCTTTCTTCGCAAGAAATGCCAAGCGTTAAGTTGCTATGCGGAAGGGTTGAATGTACTGCGGTACGTCTCTTTCTACATCGCTACATGTGTATGTATCACGTCTGCGGTGATGGGCATTGATGCGGGTGATAGCATTGCGTCAATGCTGATGCACTGGCGTTGCTGCAGTGATGCTCTGCATTGCATCAATGATATTATACAGAAAGCGGTGCCCCAACTTCTAGTCAAATAGCAGATGAGGATTGATTGCGGAATCTATAATAAAATAAGTATTCTATCATTATCTAAATAAGCCTCGCCCTCGGAGCTGCTCGTGTTTGGCATTCATGCTGCGTGTCTAGAGCGAGCGGAAAGGTCCCAAAAGCTAGGAAAATGGGTTGAATCATGAGCAGACAAAAATGTAAAAATGAATTAGTTGTATTCTTTGCGTGAATTTCCTTAAATCTGAACGTTTTCACTGGTAAGAAAGTGACCTTGCGATTTGTTTGAATCGCTATTGAAAGCAAGTTGAGTGGAGTAATCAAATTTCCACCGTGCAGGACCCAGTCGTTGTGTCTTGTGACATGGATCCGCTAATCGACGGGTCCACATGCAGCACGATGACACAACCTAATGATTCACAGCTTTGATGCCCACTCCAACGCCGAAGCGGCAGCTCTTCTGTCCACAGCTGACATTGGACAAAGCGCGCCCAAGGGCGGTCCGACAACCCCCGGAGGGCGCACCACACCTCGTGATGTGGATGTTGATCTCAATGATGCCAGACGCGTCCTGCAGCGCCAGCGCCTCCAGCATGTGCTTGAACCACACGGCCTCGTTCCGCGACCGCACCGTCCAGTAGAAGTACACCTTCCTCAGCCGGAAGCTGGGCGGCAGGTTGACCAGGCCGCATCCTGGGCACTTGTTCCGGTGCATGGTGTCCAGCACATCGTTGAGCACCGACGCGAAGGGCGTGACGCCGATGCCGGCGCCCACCAGCATGAGCACCCGATAGGCGCCGTAGTTCTGGGCGGGCGCGCCGAAGGGCCCGTCCACCAGGATCTGGAACTGCCAGTCGGGGGTGACCTCCTCTGCGGTGCCGCCGGAGCTTCGCAGAACCACCCTCTGCCGTTTCTTGGACGCGGGGCGCGCGCTCTCGGCGCCCTTGGAGAAAAGGGACCGGCCCTTGAGGCCCGAGAGCTTGGACTGCAGGGGGGCAGTTTCGGCGGCGTCCGGCGTCTCTGCAGCTTCCGGGTCGTCGGAGGCTGTGGCGCGCTTTGGCGGCCGGTGGGCCTTGACGAGGTCGTACAGGGCCTGGGTCCAGTCGCCCGCGGCGCGGACGTGGACGCTGATGTAGGACTCGCCGGGGGATGACGTCATGGAAAATGGGTGCCACTCGAAGCGTGACAGCTGCGGGCAGTTGATGAAGACGTACTGGCCGGAGGAGTACTGGAAGCCGCGCGGCTTCATGACCTGCATTCAGCGAACAAATAAGCCAATGCATTGTTAATAATATTTATAGCATAGTTAGTATTATTAACATAACGATAATAAATGGGCATTAATGCATTAATGGACATCATGGGTATTAAAATCAAACATTGATACTAAACATAGTTAGTCGGTTGGTTCGTATTAATACGTGGCAATGTTGCATTAGTCAACCGATTAATGTTTAGTATTAATGCCAAGTAATCTATTAATTTTCTTCTGTATCAATGTATGATACAAATGCCCATAGATTATGGATATGTTATTTACTAATTCTTTGGAAAACTGCTGGGTCAATTGATGGACCCAACAATCGATCGATTGGTCATTTGCGATTCGATTTCCTGCTTATAGGACTTGGATAACCAACAAAGCACATTAGAAAGCCGCAAAGCACATTAGAAAGCCGCAAAGCACATTAGAAAGCCGTTCCAACAAGTCGCTTCAATGTCTCCGTAAGCACCGCGTGTTGCGCGCCTGAAGCGCATCACAGAAGCTGCAGAGTTACATCATATCTGGTGTAGCTCAACACAAGGCAATCTTTAGAGAAGGGGGTACATTGTCTTGATTTTAAATCGCTGGGCGCGCAATGTACCCAAAGTGAAAGCAGTGCCTCCCGATAATCAAACAAAATGAGCAAACACGTGCAGTTTGGCTACGAAATTGGGAAGCCGGAAGACAAACTGCCCAACTTCACCAGGATTTCATTCGAAGCGACGTTAAATAGCGGGATTGGCGAAATGGGCGAATGATTGGTTCGAGAGCGAGCATTCCTGCAATTTTTCCAGCGTTCTCAGCATTTTCGACTGACTGAGCACTGCCCAAACGCCCTCTCTCACCTTGATGCCGACCACGTTGCCAGGCATGATCTCCGCCGCCAGCACCGGCGTCTGCTGCCCCGCGTGAACCATCCGCAGTACACGCTCCGTCAGGTACACCGCCACGGACGCGAATATCCACACGAACGAGTCGCTGTAGCCCCACTCGTTCCGCTCGTCAGGCACGTGCGGCATCGGGTGGAAGATGAGGGCCAGGTAGAATAGGGCAAAGAGCTGGTGAGTGTACCAAAAGTAGTTGAAGTCGCGCAGGGTGCGGCCCAGCGCCAGGACCAGCCGCCTGCCGGCCGACTTTTGCCTGCCCCTCTCGTGCGGGCCTTCGTCGAAAATTTTGAGCTTTTTCGGGTAGTCGAGGGCGAAGAAGGCGGCTGCGGTGTATATGGCTATGAGGGTGACGCCTGTGACGCCCACGGGGCTGCCCATCACGTCGCGCAGGCTGGGCTGGGAGCCGGCCTGCCTCGCGGCGTCCCTGCCGTCGTCGTCCGGAAAAGCGTCGAACCACTTGTCGAACCTGGCAACAAAGCTCCACAAGGATTTATACAAGTGCGGAAATTCACTTCCCTTGAGCACTGGGGCGGCGCTTGAACCTTTGGCTGGGCGCTGCTGACATGCGGAACGGCTTGACAGTGGAGCCGTTTTCCCGTTCCCCGGCCAGAGGCACTGCGCCAGTGGTTGGCACCCCCACAATGAGGAAAGCCAGCATGTGTGTTGATGCATGCATTTATTGATTGGTTGTTTGATTGGAAGATTGATAGAAAAATGGACAGAAGAGTGAGCAGGCACATTTTTAGATATATCGGTGGAACGCCAGACTGATGGGCAAATTGAATGACTTGCGGTCACAATGCAGAAAACTTGGGTGGTGAAGGATACCTGAAAATAACGCAGAGTTTCCAGGACTTTTCTCCAAATGGCAGAGAGGCCCGGTGTTATCAACTTTTACCAGTCCCACGTTTGGTTATGTTGACCATGGGACATGCCTTCATCACACTTTTGTGCAAGCAAAAGCGAACTGCAAGTATCGGTTGACTGAACGACCGAATGCGGTCAAGTGACAGCTTCGCTCCTCTTCAAATGTTTGACAGCTAACGGAACGGTTGCGAAAGCATTAAGAAACAAATGTGATCGGAAAAGATACAGGTCATACGCAGGAACAAAACAAGCGCATGCATTTTCGTTCGCCTTCTCACCTGTCGGGGTCCGTCCAATGCAGTATGTCTATCGCGTGGCCCGCGGCGTGCACCCACGCCAGGGCGAAACCCAGCACGCCCAGGAACCTGTGGAAGGCGACTGCGCCGTCGAAGTAGAACAGGTGCCTCAGGAAGGTCTCCCTCAGGTGGGTCATGAAGTTGCGGGACACGGGGAACAGGATGACGGAGAAGATGATCTTCATGGCCTGGCCGGCGCCCTTGGCCACGGGCAGGGCCCAGCCCATGAGTTCCCGCTTGCGGGCGTCCTGGCACACAATGGGCTGCGCGTCCGCCGCCTGCCTGCTCTCCACGCTGTAGCCGCCTACGGCGTCGCAGTCCCCCGTGTACCGCATGAACCGCCACAGGAACGCCCACGCCAGGACCAGCCCCAGCGTGGGGTACATCAGCGCCTTCTGCTGGTTGTTCTCCACCCAGGCCCAGGCCCGACCCACCCCGGACGCGCCCGCGCTGTCTGGCCCCCTGGCCCGCCCGGTGGCGACGCCCTCCAGCGACAGGCCCTCCAGGATGTCCGGGTAGTCCGTCATGACGCGCCGGAACTCCCCCCGGGAAACGAGCCGGTTTCCGTCCGCGTCGAACAGCTGCAGCAAGGTCTCCGCGAGGGCGGCCGTCTCCTCCCTGGGGATGCCCACGTTGCCCTCCTCCACGCTGGCCGCCAGGACGGCGGCCAGCTCGTCGCGGCTGATGGTCCCATCCCGGTCGAGGTCGAACAGGTTGAAGATGAACTCGATGCGCGCGCCGGAGTCGCGCGTCTGCAGCACGTGCATGGCGTCCACGAACTCGTCGAAGGAGACGTCGCCGCTGCCGTCGACGTCCATGCTCTCGAACAGCCGGCGGGAGAACAGCTGGCTGCGGCAGGACGTCACGGCCATGAACTGGCCGTAGTTCATCGCCTCCCGCCCGCCCGTCGCCTCCAGGAACTGCGGCCGCAGCAGGTCGGCCATCTCCCGCCTGGTGCGCGCCATCCCGCCCGCCCTCCCGACACTGTCGTCGCGACACCTCCGCCGGCAGCCCACACCCCCCTTGGCCGACACAGTCCTCCTGGACCGGTCTCGTCGCGACAACCCCGCCCGTAGACAGCCTCGTTGTGACACAGGGCGCAGTCCCGCGTCGCCTCCGACACGACAGTGCGCAGCCTGGGAGAGTCCTGGCGACGACTCCGGCGGGGCGGGGGCCGGGCCCCGGGGCCCGGCCGGGCCGCGGCGCCGCGACTGAACCGGGTGGCAGCGGCGGCGGTCCGGGGAGCCTGAGCTGGCACGCGCCGCTTTGCTGCGCCGCTCTCGGGGGTCATCAACCGTGCCGGCGGCGCTCGGCGCTGTCGCTCCAGCCTGGCTGCTCCCCAAGCGGCTCGGCGAAAGGGCGGGAGAATTGACGGCACTCAGAATGGGGGCGAAGGCATTGGCAGCCCGCCCTCAACCCTGGGAGCTTGATTCTGTCATCATCAAACCCAGGGAGCTGGATTCATTAAGAGGGGCTGATTCTTTCGCCGACGGAAATCCCGACGCCGCTTGTTTGTTTGCCGCGTTGGTGCAGGCAGGCTCCGCGCCCTGAGACTGAGAATAGGAGGCCACTGCCTGGCTCAGGAGCAGAGACAGGGCTCGATATATAACGAAGTGCATACAATATAGTGCGCAGTATGGTGCATATGTAGCATTTGCCATGTTCGGTGTCTTGAAGCGACGGAGTGGGGCCCGCCAACGCTACAGGCCAATCCAAGAGCCAAGGCAGGCCCGGTCTCGAATGACTGGCCAGTTTCGAGTTCCGCTCGCAAGTGCTGCTTATCTTCAAGCGAGCACAGCACGATTCGGTGTAAAGCAGTGGCTGTGTCAGAAGGCCCGGACGGCGGCGCTGTTTTGCTCTGTTGCAGCAAGCGAGCCGGACAACGCGTCTCCAAGGCCGCCGACAGCGCCCAAAGCCCAAAGCTGTGGCCGCGTCGTGGCGTTCTCTCGGCGAGCTGTAGTGCTTGGCCGCAGACTGCTGCTCGTTTCAGGAACTCCAACAGGGTGCCAATTTCGCCAACGCTTGTTCTTTCCCTGATGCTGCAGAGCGTGCTTCTAGGCGACAACGGCCGGTTGCTCTACCAACAAGTAGAGCTTCAAGTTCACCACGCCATGCTGCTTATTCTTCAAGCACATGGAACGAACCAATGCCGAGATTTTCTGGAAACAGATGCCCACCCTTACAGGAGGCGAAAGCGCCCGTGACCAACGCAATAGCAACGACACGGAATGAGACCCTCCGTGCCCAGCCACGCATCTACAGCCCCAATGCTCTATTCGTCCGCAGTCTCTCATCCCAACCCTCTGTGCGACCGCCTGGCCCCGCCCCCGCCTCCGCCCCCTTTGGCCGAGCGCCTCCTGTTTCCCATGTGGACGTCCAAGTCCACGAAGTCGTTGTTCCACTTGGGCTTCCGCATGCGGCCACGAGGCTCCCCGTCGCCAGGGTCAGGCTCTATGGGATCATCTGCGCAACACACGGAGACCCAGGGCACCAATCAAGGCCACCTTCCAGCAGCTGAGAACACAAAGGCATCCGGAAAGATGGCTCCAAGGAGTGCACCTGCGTGCATGGCCGGCAGAAAGGGGGCCCGAAACGCGGCCAAGCTAACACAACTTTGTCTCATTCAACACAGATACAGCCCATTCGGAAACTGTGCCAAATGGCGAACGTGTTGCCTGTGTGCTGAACCTAAATTTACAGCGAGCGCGGGCCACTCCGCTCCAGAACGTCGACGGCGACCATAACTGCAGGCGTGCACGACTACATCATCCACCATCCATTTGTGAATGACGCATTTGCACACGGCTGCAGTTGAGGCTGCCATTGATGTTCTGGCGGCAGTTGAAATGCTACAGAATAAATGTCGCAACTGTGCGGCTGACTTCTGAAGCCCACAATGTGAATGAAGCTGAAGGATCCGATCCGGCTTAATGCACCACTTTTCTCCCTGCAATAGAATCTCACGGAAGCAATTGGCACGGACGCAGGCCAGCAAGAGGGCTGTCAGCTGTCGGAAGTGCACATGAACTTCCAGACTGCATGTCACAAGCTTCCACATAAGAGTCTTGCCCTTCGTGGGTGCGATTACTGAAGTTCCATTCCTGTCGCATTGCTGCCCACACTCTGCAGCTGCGGCAGCTCAGTGCAACAAACTTTCCATTGGCATCGAATTTTCATGGTTGCTGGCGCATGGTGAGCAGCGCACAGCTGGCGACAGCTTTCTTGAGGTGCAAAAGTATCTCAGCTCTACTTTTGTCCCAATTTGTCCATCGATGTCCAAAGCGGCATGAAAGGGGGAAAGCTGGGAAGAGGGGCTGTTTGGCAGACCGTTCGCATGTCTTAAAGGGGCTGTGGACATGATTTGCAAAGTAAGTTTGCATCGTGTGTGGGATTCGTCAGCTGTCTCCTATTGTGAAAATGAGCCTGCCGAGAGACTGGCTATAGCACAGTCATGCTGCAACAGGCACCTGCATTCGGCGCGGTCCACAGTACCCAACGTTCCTTTCGCACCGCCAATTCGGACTGGCCCCTGTCAGTGTGCCCTTGCATCCCAGCAGTCAGTTTTACTCGACCCATATCCGGTGCACCTTCATTTTCGAGACAACCAGTTGGGGGGCGGGGGCAGGCCTTTGTTGGAACAGGGCGGGGAAGCACCGTTGCCAGAAACAGGGTCCAAAGGGTCTCCCAGCCATGCAGGCATCTGTGGGGTCCCGTCGGTGTCAGCGCCTTGTTGCGTCACACCCACCCATCACGGCGACCACTCTGTCCCTTGTGGGGCCCCGGGGAACATTTTCCGGAAGCATCGGCTTGGGCGGCTGCCGCCTCTTCCCTGCTGCATCGCTGTCGGCCTCCCTATCTTGGGGCACGATCACCTGCGGGCACAGAAGAGTTGATCTTGGCAGGGAAACATGCAGCGCACTGGGCAACCCACACCCACACAATAAGTGCCGGCAGGAGACATTTATCGTGCTGTCGTGTTGAAGCTAAACCCATTGATGGGATAAAGGATACATTGCAGAAACAAAACGACGATCCAAAGTCCTTGAATGCTGGACATCCAGAATCTGCGGTGCTCTGTTCTGTGGTGCTTGCAAATGCCAGTAACGTGAAATAGCTCTTATGGAAGGGAAACACCAAAATGGCTTTGGAGAAGAACTAAAGACACACCGGGGCAATGGGCAAAACCGATGGGCACACAATGTACAGGATGCTGGAGGAAGGAATAAAATAGCTGGCGTGTAATGCATCCCATTCAGAGCACGGAGCAACCAAGAGAGATTGAGTGAGATAGACAAGTTGTGATGACTTTCTCGCAACCATAGTGCATGGCCATGTCAGATTTCATCAGTCGGTCTGGTCAACTGACAGGACGAGCAGCTCTTGCTGGTGGTATCCATGGCAAAGGGATATAGGATGGCATTGTTCTTGAGACAGTCTGCCACAGGGGCATGACAAAGATGCGCTTGCACCTTGCAACCTACGATGGGCACAAATCCATCCACTCAACATTAGCTCAATGTCCCAGATCACAATTCTGCATGATCAGGGATCGCTGACCAAACACAAGGGAATAGGGTTGAATTGGGAGTTCGTGCACTCAACAATTGTCCAGAATGCAAGCAGAGTGCTGCCCCTGCTTGAACTGGCATCGTCAGGCATTGTATGGGATACAAAGTGCAAAGCAGGCGTTGCTCACCACAGGCAGGTGATGCAGTGGAGCCTCGATTTCGCCATCGCTGCTGAACACCGAGACCTCCTCAATCGTAAACACGTCTATCGATTCGTCCTCATCGTCGGAGCTCACCTCCACCCGTCGTTGCTTGGCTGGTCGCACCTGGCAAGCGCATGGCAAGTCACGATTGGCAACACAGGCAGTGGATGTCTTCAAAACCTTTGGGGAAAGCATGTGCAGGGCAAAGTGTCTCAGCAGAAAGTCTGACACTCATTCTGGGTACCCATTTCCTCTCCTGTGCTGTTGGGCATGAATCTGCTGTGTCAATACCCTGCCAGTGAACATATGCTGGATTCTCCAGCACAAGAAATTGTGAAACTTTTCAGCACATTGCTGTTCCGAAGAAGAATCTGAGGACGGCCGAGCGTGCATGACACAGCCGCACTGGACAGACTGCCGAGCACAACAAAGCCAAGGCCAGGGTGTGCAGGGAGAGAGCACAGGCAACTCATGCCAGGGCATCGATGCCATTGATGTGCTTTCCCTCGATGACAACACACACCAGGCGCAGGTATGGTATCACCGAAGAGCAGTTGCCCACAATACTAATCCCCAGAATGTCTGGTTGTTGTGACAAAATGCCTGCGACAGTGCTGGAAAAGTAATGGGGATAATTTCAACAGTCGACATGGCAAACGAACAAGACCAATTGACATCATCAGATAATTTACACAGCCGCAGCAAACTATTGAACAACTGACGAGTTACTGAGTATTGCACAAGGTACATTGGTTGTGCATTTGACTGCTTGGCGATCCATCACCTCTTCATTAAGGTCAAACTCCGTTTCGCGTTCCACATACTCCTGGTTCTCCTCAAGTTCCTGCACAATTGCACCATCTCGATCCGCTGATCACACCCATGGCCACAAGATGAAGCAGGGCCATTGCTACTTGCAAGGCAAACTGAACATAACTGATATTCCATTGCGCTCCGCATAGAGCTGCATAAAGTCCAGCGATGTGTCGTGTCATGGCCTGACCCATGTATCCAGCAGCAAAACATGTTTGTGGGCAAGACCAGGCCCTTCGTACTTTGTAGCCCCAGAGCTACATGATCCACAGGCGATCGTTGGCATATGTACAGCCAGAATACTTTGGCCCCTGTTCGTTCATGGGCACTAGCAGGGCTAATCCAGGCTGCAGCGACCACTGATGAAACAACCCATTCACTGGGCATGGGCAGTGACCAGTGGCCAGCCACAGACAGCATGGTGTACCGCACATTACAGTGCACCATTGCTCAGTATATATTGGTTCGCAGTCGAAGACTGAAGTTAGTGCCCTGCAGTCTATACACTATACTATAGCACAAATTGGTACAGTACAGTGCAGCAAATATAGAACAGGTTTGAGTTTTCTGATTGCATTTTTTGCAGATGAGAAAGCGAAGAAGTTGCACTATTGAGGGGATATCAATGTGCTGATCTAACTGCAACCAAAGTTTAGAATCCCAAGCACAACAGCAGCAACAGCAAATGCAAAATACACAGTTGACCATAAAACCTTGGCAAATGTCGCAAGTGAGCAATCACCTGGAAATCTGGTGCAAATGCACTCCAGTTCTCGTAATAGATCTTGGCCCAGATGTAGATCTGCCACAGGATTACGTTTGTAGTCCTTTTTGTCAGCATGGAGGCGATGCAAGCACATCCCAATGCTGTACAATGGATTTCATGTTGCTACAACATCTACAGTTCCAATTAAGAAAATCAATAGAAAAGAATCAATGCCCACAGAAGCAAAGAGAGCTGCAGCAATGAACAAAACAGTGAATGTTCATTTAAAATGAATTACATGCACACGTTTCCATGCCCATAAAACCTAAGTTGGAGAGAGCTTTCTTACTGTGAAACCCTCTCAGCAAATGTGGTACTCCTCCAACATTTCAGCAACACCAGCAGTACAGGCAGTACAAGAGATACAGGTGAATTTGTTTAGTACACTGCTCTATTGTGATATGGCAAGAAAGTGTGGGATGTTGGTGTGTCCAATGCGTCTAGTGTAGTCTACCAACAGAGTGAGGAAAACCATAGTGGCAGTAACAAAGTTAACACCGCCCAGGACACTAGTCAGTGTCTGAGCCTATTCAAAGCAGCTTGTCCCTCGTTGTCAACAAGACATTAAGCTCACACAGATATTCACAACCATGCACAAGAGCTAAACGCTGCATGCCTGGAACATCTGCCATTCTTCAACCAGGTGTAAAGGCAATTGCCTCAGTATGGTTTCTGAACGAAGAGCTACTGCTCGGCAACTCACATCATGGTGGCAATCACAGGACAGAATCCCACCTTGCCATCAGCAGACACTGACACAAGAATGGAGCGCATGGGATGCCATGTTATATCCAGGATTCCCTCCTTTGGGCCTGCAACAACATGGTAAATCGTTGAGTGAACAACTATCATAGAATCAATCAGCACCAGAGTCAGAAGAACTACAGGAAGAACAACTCGGGTTGAAGTGCAGGTTGGTGTTGGTGCTTGGCTAGAGGAGAGAGGCATGGTATGCTGCACCTTGCCTGCCAACCTACAGTCTTTGCTATGCTATTTCAAAAATATGGACTTCGGATTCATGGGTTTTGCGAACTCCATTCTTCTAAAGTTATGAAGGCTAAGTTTGCCAAAGCTGAAGACTGACAAATACCACACAGAGCGCTGGTCAACTACAGAGCTCACCCTCCTTCCCAGCTCGCAACAAATATCTGCCATCGCCTCGTGGGTGCTGGGATAGTGCTTGCCACATTTTGACATGCAAGATCAGATTGATTGTGCCTGTATTCCAGTATTCTTCCCGATATTTATGTGGATGCATCGTGTAGAATGTTGCATCAACGTGGATCTTGACATGGCAATCGCTCCTCACCACATATAACTGGACAAAATTGCATTGCACAAAAAACCGTATGTGAACCAGCACTACGGAAAACGATCGGGCTGTGCCCAGCGTACAAACAATGACTCCCTGGCAATGATGAAACCCATGAAACCTGACTGGCTTGGCCAGCAACCACAGTTTCTGCCCCAGCCTCCCACCTCGCAATATTCTTTCCAATTTGCGAGTGACCTGGTTCCATATGTATAGGTTGTGCTCGTTGCTCTTCTGCGCTGCCCCCACCACATACTCGTTGTCTGTGGCAAAGCACACAGAGTGCCATGACAGCTGCTCCACCGGGTCCTTGAAGTCACTGGGCAGCATTCGCAGGGCACCTTTCTCACCCCAGAATAATGAACCCGACCGGGGAAACTGCAACCACAGACATTTGCAGTGGCCAATATCCAAGCGTAAGAAAGACTGAAATTTGAGATTATTGCACAATCAAAGGTTCACATGTGAGGTGCCATCGGTTGTGGCAATGAATGGTAGTGATCGATCCTAGAGTGGTTTTCAGATGCCCAACTACGAGTGGGCGTACCTGTGGCAAAAGCATGGTAAATGACTGCTACCACATGCAAGAGACTCTATGCTGTGTGTTTCCTGCTGCGCTCATACAATTTACATAGTCTTCAATAACATGCAGAGAGGTATCAAAAAAAAAGTCTTAAATAAGATATAGCATTCTGCAACAAAAGAATACAACATGGAACATGGTCTCACAACCACCTTTATGCAGAAGTGTTGTGCCCATTGCAGGACCTACTGCCCTTCTTGTTACCATGAAGTTTCAGTGCAGCTGATTCTCTCAATTGCCACAATGATTGGCCAAAGGAACTCAATGAACCAGAAACAATAATTCAATCTCACAAACCTACAGCACAGCCTCTGCACCGTTCAGCACAACACTTTAAACAGGAGCCCAATGCAGGTTCCTCTCACAGACCCCTTCTCTTCAACATGTTGATTTTACACAGTTGAGAGCAACTCGATGCCAGAATGCAAGGAGTGGGTTTGACAGCAAGCTTTCAAAGCATTTTGCACATTCAAAAAAATCCATTTCACTGGTCAAAGGCAGCCCCTGCACCAAGGAACAGGGCCACGAGCAACAGCATCAAAATAAAGGTCCAATGAAACAGCATGGATGCACAATTCTCTTCTGCCAAGGTGCAAACCTCCTTAGAGGCCTTGATGATGGCCTCTTGTGGTTCATATCCATCAAAGCCCGGCTCCCAAGCTTCGAGCCTGCCCAGTACATCAAACATCCGGATACATCGGTCGCAGTTTGCAAGCAACAGATTTCCCTTTCGGTTCAAGTGCAGCCCCAGCACACGGCTGGTGGCTGGAACCTGCCAAATGGCAAACAACAACAGTTACAGCGCCACCCCATCCCTCAGCCGCTAGTACAGCACTTTTAGGTGGTTTTACAAATGTGATCACAGACGCCATCTCACACACAACCTCATCTTGTGGTGCGATGATGCTGGTATTGGAAAATCGTGCCCTGTTAATATAAAACGGACTAGAAATAGCCACATTCAATTGCAAGATCAGTTCTAATAAACTATGTTAGTGTATTTGCTGAATGGGCATAATTGGTGTCATTTTCCACCAATACATGGCAAGGTGGATGGGCAGGAATCTGCAAAATTCAATCACAAAGAGGTGAAAAAGGACAATTATATCCAATCGCAATCATCACACGTAGCACGTACTTCCTCTGTCCCAAAATAAGTGACCCAGTTGTTTTCAGCAATGTGTTTTCAACATAAGATGACTTCCTTTTTCCCTGAAAATTTACTCACAGCAAGGCATTATAGCGTACGCTATCAAAATTCCAGATGAATACACTAAGAACAAGGTAATTGGCATCAGTTTTTATCCATGTCACTCACCCCCCCGAAAACCCTGATAATCCACAGCCTCCGGGAAACCGATCAAGCCACACACATGCTTGAGTAGGCCATGCGGAAGACGCTTTGCTGCTCCCTAGGCCTTGAGAATGACCGCGTCGACCTTCAGTCTGATTGGTGTGGCCAACTCTTCTCGATCGCAGAGCTTCGCCCTCTCGAAGGGACGGCCCTCACCATGCTGGAAAAAGCCGATTTCCCTAAGATTGTGGATTATTGGCGTTTTTGGGAGGTCAGTGACGTGGATGAAACCTGACGTCAATAATGTTGCACGTAGGGGATGCATCCAAAATTTTGATAGCATACTCTATACTCCTGTGTCTTCCAGTGAGTAAATTTCCACAGAAAAAGGAAGTCATCTTATGATAAAAACGTAATGCTGAAAACGGTTGGGTCATTCAATTTGGGACAGATGAAGTAGCACTGAAACATTCCAACATCAAATATCAATACACAAACACATGACATAAATAAATGCTATCTCTGTTCCAAAAGTCGTGTCGCATCTGCAATTTGCACAAATGGTGATCAAAACGTGCGAGACACAAAAATTGATAAAGAGAATTGCGATGCTCCATGTCAAGTGCTATCCAAAGAACCCTCTTACATGGCAGACGGTGCTGCCCTTCTTCTGATAGGTTGAATGCAGATGGAACGCGATTTTACATTTTGTCGGGACCTAGGATGGGGCATAGCGTGCTTGCCTTGCCCTTCAGAAAGGTGGATCGACCTTAGCTATCTCTAGGAGAGCGGTATGCTTTGTTGGTTTGGTTTGAACTAAGGATATTGCTTGATTCTAAACAGAATCGATGAGGAAAAGGATTGGAGTTTAGCACAGATTTGTGGTGTCAACAAGAACCGAGTAAAGGTTGTGGCCTATGTCCAAGAGGCACCTCCATCTGTGAAAGAACATCTGCCTCACAGATTTTCCAAGGCGAGGGAGGCCATACCAAAAACGCGGCTTAGATTGAGGCACAAACGGCCAAGTGTTGGAAGCCAGAATTTTGGAAACATAATTTAGCATACTGGAGGAACAATGAGCAAGAAGCATGGTAGCATTGATAACATACTGTGCACAACAGTAATCCTGCAGTCACTGCGTTTTTTTTCCCCTCCTTCTGTTTTGTTGTGGGTGGACAATGTTTATCCCCTTTCAGGGTTGCGGTGCGAGGTATCGGATTATTATGATTTTCGTTGACATGCACCAGCTCGTGACAGAGATAGGAATAAAACACAGTCTGAGTGCCCATTTGCTGCCTATCACAAAGTTCTCCATGAATTTTGGGGAAACAGGTTGGGACATTTGGGAATAAGGCCAATGCCACCATGTGGGGAATTGAGGACCGGCATAGAACTGGACAGGGGCATTTTGGACAAGCCTGTGAATATCATGCAATATGGTGATGACTACTGTAACCAAGACCCATCTCAACCCAAAATCGACCAAATAATCTGAAAATGGTGACGGATTGACTGACTGAGTTCATCCTGTAAAATTATAGCAACAGTTACAGAAGCAGCATGACTTTTGGAACGGAGGTAGTGGATAAACAGACAATACGTCACAGTTGATGAATGAATAAATAATAAACTATATGTAAACGCACTAATAGAAATAAATACAATCACCATGGCTTGCCACATCACCACACTGTCTTCAAGTTGATGACAATGTGCAAGAAGTAAGAGGGCCAGATCCTTTGTGGTGCAAACTTCTGGAGCACTGATTTGTCCCAGCTTGGTGTCGGCTGAAGTGCACGAACCTTAACGATGTCCAGGATCTTGAGAGTGTCCGTGGACAGGACATACACGTAGCCTTTGGGATGGGCCACGATGATGCGTGTGCAGCTCTTGTCAAAGATCGCAATGTTAGTCATGCCTTCGGAGCTGGGGTACCTGCCCACTTCGCTCTCTGTGTGCACAAGCCAGCAACAGCTGTCAGCACACTCTGCGGCTAGCCAAATCGGTGCAACGACAGTTCTTTACAGTATTCAGAATTTGTGATGCAAGCAAACATCAACTATTGGTGGCATCATGGGCAGTATTCTATTCCTTGCTGCAGTACAACATCTCCATTTGGATACCCTGGCTTTTCAGAAGCAACGAGTTCATTCTTAAAATAGTCCATCAAGGCGTGGACTGGTGCAGCGAGCACGACAAGGGCGGCAGCTTGCAAAGGCACAAAGGCCACCAGCTGAACTGTCTAGCTGGCATTTGACAAAGAGATTGCAAAAGGTTTGAAACTTTGGCAAGGAGTCACTCGAATTTGACCGCAATGGGAGAAGGTGGCCACAACCTGCTTCAAGTCCTGCAAGAACGGCATAGGGCCGTGTTCAAGATCACCAACACAGCACCCAAACTAGACATTACCCAAACTTTGAAACCATAGGCGATGCTACACATCCGCACGAGTTTTGTGAGGCCACTGTTTGCATTAGTGTGCACTAATCACAAAAGAAACCCCTTTCCACACCCCAACCAAAACAGCACCTGAGAAAAATACTGTAATTCACTTTGCAAAAACCCACTGCCAGCAAGGAGTCACAGCTTTCCCCCAGCACCCTTCCACAACAATGACAAATGGATTGTGCAAAAGTGCAATTGATGGACAACGAAAAATGCTGCTACCAGCACAGATGCCAGCAACTCTAGTTGTTCCAATGCCAGTGAGCTCCCACGGCGGACTGCCAGCACAGATGGCAGCAACTCAGCAAAGGGACTCTCCCAGCCCGCTTCCACCACTCACCACCAAGGAGTGGCTCTAATGGTTGTCTTGTTCCATGCTTCAGATCCAGCAGCAGTGGTGGCCCCACTGCCATAGTCACCAGGCACCTCCCTGGCTCCAAGCGGCTCGCTGCCACACTCACGACAGCAGACTCCAGTGTCATGGAGCCTTCCTGCATCGAATGTGCACAAGAAGTCAGATGTGTTTCAAAGTGCAGCATCCTCCATCACCGTTGATGTAAGACATAATAACACAGGCACCGGACACAACACCATACTACAGGTGACATGACTATCGACTGAAATGGAAGTGCCAGCCAGTAAGGTTATTTGCTGACTGAACCTTCTTGCAAGCAGCAGCTGTGCTCCTTTCAACTCCTCAAAAAGCAGCCCTCCGATGATGATCTCCTGTTGGTGCCACATTGCAAAAACATTGCCTTGCGTCTGCAAGTTTGTTGCAGGCACCATGTGCATCTGCAGCATGCAGCACCTGTTGGGGCACAGTGGGCCTTGTACAGGGCCAGTGTGCTGTAGTACATTATACCCTTCCGCATTGTAATGTAACGTTTGGCCTTTTCATGCAGAGCAACAATTAAAAGCAATGGTGCCAAGCACATGTGGGGCAGCCCCAGCCACGACACGAGGGTCTCTGGAGTGTTCTTGGCATCTAGCAGCTCAGGATGCATGGGTCAATGCGTTGGAAACTTGGCAATTGAGGCCACATGAACTGAGAGCGCCATCCTGGCTGTGACCATGATGCAGAGCCTCCCCAAATAACGGTGTGTCAAAAAGCTGTGGAGCAAAAATCGTAACGCTGAAATTTCAAGAAGCGGAAGGGTATAATATACTATGGTGGCTGTCAAAACATTCAGTCATCTCCTTTTAGATCCCTGGATTGGGTGTCTGTATCAACAATGCAGGCCAGACAACAGTGCTAAGTTGTACCAGTAGATAGAAGAGCCGATGCATCACAAATCATGGGACATTTGCAAACAACAGATTCAAAAAAATTAGGTGCCAATTACGTGAGCAAGCAGACAGGAAATAAATCATTGCCACTGTCGTTGGCAGCAAGGTTCATCCCAAAATAACGGTTGCTGTTGGATTTGAAAGTCAGCCTGCAGATAGTGCTGCCTGCCTCAGCCATCTCATCCGAATTTTGCACTGAAACTCGTCCCACAAAAGAGATTTGCTTCTTTCATCCGAAAAACTACATCACCATTAGGCATCAGACAAGAACCCTCCCAGCAGTAGATACATTGTCTCACATCTCACATTTCAGGCCTCTGTCACTTTTGCACAATACTGCTTGGGAATGTGCAGCTTGAGAACGAATGGGCCATGTAACAAAAAGTTTAGGAATTCAAAATCACAGTAGCGCAATGCATCGGGGCCTTTGCCAGATCGCATATCAATGGTTGCTTGTGGTGGCAAGTTTGGTGATGCCAATGTGAAAAGAGAACATAGCAGCAGAAATTTCCTTTCACCCAGCAACAAAACCTTTCTTCCAGACCTCCAGACCTTTTCTGACGACAGCACGTTCCACAGGGTGACGGTCTGGTCCAGCGATGAGGTGACGATGTAGCGGCCATCCCGAGACCAGCACACCCCTGTGACCGTCTTGCTGTGAGGAAGGCAGTGCATGGAACTCAGCCACAGAGGCAACAGAGACACAAGCACAGGCAGCAGAGCAGTCCAAGGCATCCATGGGCATAACAAGATCACCAGCAATGCTTCCAACACATTCGTTCTTTCCACCTCCTCTTGTTTGTTGTTGAAGCGGGAGAAGCACCAATACATCAATAGTTATAGTGAAAGCAATAGACATGCCTTGGATGTGCTGCCCCAATACTGCCTAACAGCATGGAACAACTGTCTCCTTTGCACTTTCCGCACCCCTGACTGGACATCTGACTGAACACCATTTGTCAAGGTGCTCTTTTGCCCACTATCAGCTTCCTGCAGCAGCAGTTTTGCATGCTAGACTATGTGCTGGACATAGTTGTACAGGGATGCACCATTGCGCTGCTGCAACCATGCTTTACCACTGCTGACCCACAGCCAACCCCTTAAACAGCTCCCAACCATCGATCTCTCAAACAAAACGTGACCATCCCAAGACATTACCGCCACAGACATTGCCTGAAAGGTGCAAGGCTTTTGTGTTCAACATGCCATTCTGGACGAATACAGTCCACGGAGTCAAGGGTCCTGCTCTGCTGTTTGCTTTCCTTTTCTGTTTCTTTTCAAAGAGGAACTCCATGACAGTGGACATCTTTGTTTACAAGCTGCATTCAAAACCAATCGAATTCATCACAATCAACAAGCACTGCCCGTTCAACATTTGTGCCAATGGCAAAATTGCCTTCGAAGAACCAACGTCCCTCGCAGGTGATGACAGGCGTACACACATCTAAAGCACTCATTCGGCTGCCTCCAGACGCTGTGCAACCATCAGGCGATGTCGATGCACCCCAAGAGGTTCTCCAACATGAACACTGGGGTGTCTCCTTACCCACCAAGTCAGTTGCAAGCTACCCCGCGTCTTCTCACCCATCCAATCCTGGCCACCCACCTGTGTGCCTTTATCACTTTTGCCACGCTGTAGGTCTCAAAGTCCCAAATGACCAACTGGCCGTCTTCCGATCCGGCTGCCATGGCGAGAAACGCACAGCACAGTCAGCAGGCAGTCGGCAACGGACGGCATCCAATTAGCGATGCCATCTTTGTGCCGCATCCTTGCGTTTCTCATTGAAGGTCGTGATCGCTCAGTGAGCAAGTTCGTGCACCCAATCCCAAACCGCCGGTGGACTTCCCGGAGCGGCAAAGAGATTTACAGTGTTGATGCAAGTCGCGGGCAGCGCAAGTCCTTTGTCTGCATTCGTCCACAACGGCACAAATCGGCCCGCAAAAAATCAAAAGAAAAGCAACGGAAGACAAAAATTTTGCACTTTGTGCAGCATCCCGGCGATTCGACGCAGCGCATCAAAACGCTTCAGTCCGCGCCCGCGTCGCGACCGGCACGGCGGGGCAGGTAGTCCGCTCGCGGACGTTGGAGGAGCCTCCCGACCGGCTTTTTCCTCGTGTAAGAGGAAAAGGCCCCCGGGCCCGCCCGATTCCGACTTCCCCACGGACTCCAATCCAGACCCACATTCGAAGGACTTGCAGTCCACAGCATGCGACCCGACGGGCGAGCTGGAAAGGAATGACCCCAGACGGTGCCAGTACGCGCAACAGGCGCAAAGGGACGCCCGGCACGCAGGCTGGGCAATAATGTGGCGGGAGTAGTCCGACGATCGGCGACCAGCACCGGCGCCAGAGACCGCGCTGATGCGCCGCGCCCGCCTCACCCGCCAGGAGCGCGCCCCGTCGATTGAAGGCGACGCACGTCGCGGCGCCGTGCTCCAGGAACTCTTCGATCGTCTCCGGGAGCTCCATGCTCTGGAACGGATCTGCGCCGGCAGGACGCCAGGATCAGTCTTGGTCTGCGAGGGCCCGGCGATGGTGGGCCAGGCCGGGGCCGAGGGTACCCAGCGGCAGCTCCGGCTCACCCTGCAGCCGCCTGTTCATGTTGAGAAAGCCCGCCGGCGCCGCGGCGAGGGCAGGGCGGGTGGGAATTGGAGGACAGGGGTGGCACCTGAATCCTCTCCATGCCCCAAAAGCCCCACCTGGAGGCCACTTTCTTTTCCTTTTTTCTTTTCTTCCCGAGTTTTCCTGGAAAGAATGAGGAGCCGCTTCACCCTTTCCTCCACCTTATCCCTTCTCCCCTTTTCCTGCTTCCTGCTCGCGAAACACACCGCTTTTGATGCTTCATGAAATTGAGTGTTAATGAATCCATATTTAAGTTCTAACCCCGTGCTGCATGGAGTAGCTGGCCGGTTCATGGCCCGCCACCTTGGAATGGAAGTCGTCATGCCAGGATGAGTCATAACGCTTCCACCTCCCCGGCGGGGGCGGCCATGGAAGAAAAAAACCCCACCGTGCCCGGAGCAACCCAAGGGCGGGCGGGTGGGAGCCGTTTGCACGGAGAGCGATCCACGATACGGCCCGCGTCGCGGCGACCGCCACTCGTCAAACAGCCACGGCCCGTCGTGCTACAGCACGATCTCATAATCGCGTCGTTGTGTCCTAAGTGTGCTGACGCTGTTCTTTGTCGACTCCTTGTTCTTCTAATAAAATATTCTTCTTTTTTCCCTGCCAAAAAACGTTGTTGCCAAAAACGATAGAAGCCCCTTGGCCCAGCGGCTGCGGAACACCTTCCTGGGCGCGCAGGTGGGTTTGCGGCCCTCCCTCGACGCATGGCGGCGTCCAGCGGGGGCACCAAACGAGGCGCACCGCCCGCGGAGCCCTGCGCCCGCCCGGCCGATCACCCGGGCCCATCCGGCCTACATGACGTCCGCGCCCCAGCGTTCAGCCGACCCAGGCTCGTGGATCCCGAGGATGCCTCCCAGCTCGTCCGCGTTGCGGCGTGGGCCGCGGCGATCGAGCCCCGGCGCGCCGCCGCCCTGATGAAGGAGTTGGCCGCCAGGGCCAAGCTGCCGGACGCCCTGCAGCACCTCAAGCGCATACGGCGGGGACCGTCCCCCGAGTCTTCCCCCCCCGTGAAGCTGGACGTCCTCCTGTGGCCCGTTGGGCCGGAACCCGCCGGCGCCGGGTCGAATGAATCGGTTTTCAGGTCAGATGCATCTGTTTCTGCATCGAATGAATCTGTTTTCAGGTCGGATGTGTCCGTTTTGGAACCGAATGCATCGCTTTTGAGGTCGGATGAATCAGGTTTTAATTCCGTTGGTGGGGATCGCGACCCGCTGGATGACATGCCGGAAGGGGTGGCGGCCGTGGTAAGAGCATTTGGCCTCGAGCCGTTCGCGACGGTGGTGGCGGGTTCGGCGCCTCGAGACCGGTCCCAGTGGGCCGAGTGGAACAAGTTGTGGCCGATCGGCTGGCGGCCCCCGGAGCCGCACCCGGGGGCCGGCGCCGGGGAACTGGACGCAGATGAGGCCGCCCGGGCGCGGCGGTTCATGGGGATGGCGCTGAGGGAGGCGGAGGCGGCGGGATGCGGGAATGCGGCTGTGATCGTGGATCCCGCCAGGGAGAAGGAGGATGGCGTCGTGGCGATTGGGTTGGAAGGCTGCGATCGGGACCCGCTCAGGCACGCGGTGATGGCGGCGGTGGAGGGCGCCGCGGAGAGGGAGCGGGCGGTCTGGGGGGAGGCCGGGGAGGAGAAGGCGCCAAAGAGGAGGCGGATGGGGGTGACCGAGCATTCGGAATCAAATTTCGGGGATCGGACACAATTTGAGGGTACTGGTCAGGATTCAATTTCAGGGGATTGCAGGGGATGGGATTCAAGTTCAGGGGCTTCACAGGGCGGCGGAGGGAAAATGGCAGGAGGCGGGGGCTGTGGGGACAGGGAGGGAGAGGGGTTTGGGGATGGTGGAGCAGGGGGGGCGGGGGGGAGGCCGTACCTGTGCAGCGGGTTTGAGTGCTACGTGGTGAGGGAGCCGTGCCTGATGTGCGCCATGGCCCTCGTGCACTCGAGGGTGGCGCGGGTGGTTTATTGCCAGGCGGACGCCGGGGGCGGGGCGCTGGGCGGGCGGCACAGGCTGCATGGCGAGCGGAGTCTCAACCATCACTATGCGGTTTACCACATGCCCTTGGAGAACGATTCGGAGTGAGATGGGCGGAAATTTTCGATGGGGGGGTTGCCTTGTGGCGCCGTCAGTTTTGATTTGTTTGGCGAATTTTTTGATGATGGAACTGGCCTTTACATGACAGAACTGCACTGGTGCACCTTGAAGGCAATGGCCAGCTGGGGTCTGGGGGATGCTGGGTTGGAAAAAGTCACCACCCAGGAGTGTATGGTGGGGGGATGGTGCCTGCCATGCCCTTGAGGGGGCACTCATTTGCATCTGGATTGGCAGTGGGGCCGTGGCGATTTCACTTATCCCATGGAGGGATACTACACTTGCAAGCCACAGCACGCCCTCTTTGGGGCATCGGCTTTGTTCGAGCGACCTGCACGGCACACCCACTCTCAAAGGGAACAGGAGCAAAGATACCAAGTAGGAGAATGGAAAATTCAAGTCCTCTGGGAGTGCTGCTCCCATCCTCGTTTGGTAGCACCTGCTTTCAGCAGCTTTATTTCCATCCTTGTGAATCAATGCCGTTTTGTGCAAAGATGCTGCCATTCAAAAGTGGACGAGCTCCATAATACTGTGGACTGACCAGCCAGTGCATGTTAACAGGCACTTTCGCTCAGTTATTGGCCTGTGGAAATGGTATAGTTCCTGTAGGTTGAATTCAACACGGACTGGGGCAGTAGGGCTGTGTTTTGGTAGTTTCGATAGTATGCAGGGCATCCCTGAGGCCAACAAGGCATTGTGTGGCTGCTGAGAATTCGGTTTGGGATTCACTTCATAGGAAAACACAGCTGCTGCACTACTCTACCTGTGTGTTCTGCAGTGCCACTCTGGTAGCATACTTCGCCTGTTCATCGCCATGTGAGTGCCTCCACGTGCTTTAGCTTATGAGTAGTTATCCTCAGAGTACTTTCAGAATCTGTTGGAGCATACTGTGCATTGTATGCTCCACACGGTGTGTGACCATGTGCATGCAAACCGAACAGAAGTGCGCCCACATTGTGCGGCCATCGCAACGATTTGTCCAGGTTGAAACCATGAGCTCTTGCGCAGGACATGCACCAGGTGCTGGCGAACGGCGAAGCAGCGGCCGGCTGGCTGCCGGTGAAGCATGAATGCCCCAGCCGTCCTGAGAGTCTCAAGCTGGGGCTGCCCTAGCGAAGAAGGCAGCAGGTGTCCTACCACTCCTGAGTACACAGACAAAAAAGGAAAAGAGGCAGAGGGGGCGCTCGGAGATTCTGTTTCTGATCGGTCTGTGCGTCAGGCCATTCACGCTCACATTTCACCATTGCCGGGCATTTTGGGAGGGTCAATGGGCCGCACAACCCATAAGTACTGCACTACCTAGTACAGACTGTACTGTACTGTACTGTGTCTGTACTGTACTGTACTGTACTGTGCAGTGCAGCTCAGTGTGGTCAAACCACCATGTGCGCGGCGTTTGACCCCGTTCTGTTTGTTCACACACACCCAGAGTCCGTTTCTTGGCGATCAGGGTCGACCATTCCGGATATTCCGCAGTCAATGGGTCAACGTCACGGGCATCTTCATGCGCATGGGATTCCAAGAATCGATTCGCCCCATCCATGCGGCATTTCGATCAACGCACACGCCCGCCGCTGCGCCCCCCAGGCACAGCAACAGTCGACAGAAACCCGAAAAGACGTTTTGCAAGGCCTCCAGCTGGGCTGGACGGGCGCCATCCCCTCCTCCCTTGACGTCAGCTCACCCCCCACCCCGCGCCCCCCCCAATATCTCCTCATCCAGCATGAGTCAACACCTCCGGCGGAAGCATATTCGCCCGATTCCAACCCTCCGTCCGCCCGGCGCCCAGACCTTTTTGCGCGCTCGAGTCGTCCGCTCCTCCCGCTGCCGGCTGCGCCCACGCCCCCCCTCCCCCCTCAACCTCCCCCTTCCCCCTTTCCAGCCACCCTCCTCCCCGTCTGAGGCCGGGCAGCGCCTTGACGCAGGCGCCATGGCCCGCGATCATTCCTTCCGGGCCCTCATCCTGGCCGCCGCATGCCTTGCTGAGATCCTCGCCTGCGCGTCCGCCGACCCCGTTGTTCTGGAGAGGATCTCCCAGACGTACCTGCCCTTCAAGTTCTCGCCCGCCGGCGACCCCATCTTCTGCCTGGGCGAGGCTGCCGCCGAGCAGCTGGTCTACGACAGCAACGCGCAGGTCCTCTACGTCGCGGGCAACAAGGTACGGCGTTCCTTTTTCCACCTCCTCTGAAGGTCACCCCCACACGCGTGGGGCGCACGCCCTGCGCCCCCTCCCCCCTCTCCCCCCCGTTGCAGATACCGGTTCCGCGTCAAGAAGCCTCGATCGATTGTCAATTGGCCATCGCTCCGTTCGTCGCGCCAATCCATCGCGCTGCGTCAGCGCCGCGCTGATGCCGTGCCCCGCCGGGCCGAACCCGTCGCGCCCTTTCGTCTCGCTCGAGCCGCCGACGCTGAAGTCATGCCCCTGAGCGGTCGATCCTTCGGTGCTTAATGCCGCCCGGGGTCATGGGCCCTGGGGCGCAAACGCGCACCCGGCGGCCCCCCGGCGATTGGCGCGGCGCGACGCCCGGGCCGATGATGCGAAGTACTGCCGCTGGCCCGCGAGAGTGGGATGAGCAGTTTGGGGGCCGTGGGCGCGGCATGCGCGTTTTGCGTTTCGAGCGTGACTCGCTGCCGCTCGACGCCCCCATGGGCGGCTGAGTCGCTGATCGCATGAAAGGCGCGAGTGGACGAGCGGCAACTGGGCGCAAGGCTGGCAATTGCCCTGTGGGGGCATCGACTGAGGTGCAGCGCTCTCCTGATGCGGGCGTGGGCGAGTTGGAGGCGCGGGCAGCGAGTCCCGAGTGCCGTGGCGGGGGTGTGGGCACTGAGAGTACTTGCGTCGAAGTACATTGCTGGCATTTGACGGGCGGGCCTTTCAGCGGGGTCGGACCGCTCTCTCGTCTCAGCCCCCCGCACCTCGCTCCACTGCTCCTGTCTGTCTCGGCGCCAGGGTGAGCCACTGGTTGGCCGGAGGGGGCGTGCGTAGGCAGGGACGAGGCATCGAAAGAGGGGCGCTTGTGTGCGAACGCCGGAGCCTGCGCTGCGGTATCGCAGGCGAAGTCATGAGCGTGAAGTGAACGCCCGTTTTCAGGGCAGCCGCTTTGAAATCGGCTTATCGCTGTTGCGCAAGGACCAAAGGGAGTCCATGTGCTTATGGCGATGTCAGGGACCACAGGCCAAAGTCGACACAGCAGTGGCCGGAACGTCCATTCGAATATGTCACTTTTCTGGCGACTGCGACAGAAGCGTCCACTGCAATTGCACTAATTGTTCAGTCAAAGAAGTACCCTCTGACCTGCAGGCCATGGCATTATTCCGTGGAAAGAAGTATTCGGAACTTTCTGTATACTGAGAGAGTCGAGCTCACAGAGCTGTTCAACCCAATGGCAATGGGGATTGCGGGCTATTTGGACCTAATGCTCCTGGTCCCAGTGAATGTGACTACTTCCACGATCCATGATTTTATCATGTTTCTGTATTTTGCACAATCACACATACACGTCAGGATGGAACATGGCCTCCAAAATATTTCACTCAAGATGGCTTCCCAGGGGTAGGAGCAGGGCATCGACTCGAGCATCAGTCATGCCCTCACTAGGACCATCAAGATGAGGTTGCATTGGAACTTGACATTGACAACATTAATTCAACACAGAACAGCCATTGCAATGGAAGTTATCAACGCCTTTGAAGGACAGGGCAACGCTTGCATCAATTTGGTCATGGCTATTTGATACTCGTTGTCGTTGTGTTTGGCTACTACATGCACCTGAGAATAGTAGCTGGTGAAGAGCAGCGATTTCCAGCACAGCCACTGTGAATGGACAGCTGTGGTGGTAGCGGATGAAACCTGAGTTTTCCTCACTTTTCTACTCTGCCCCAGTTGCTCAGGGTGCTGGACATTGAGGACCCGGCGAATCCCAGTACAGCCATTACAGTTGATGTGCCCGGCGAGGTCACTGATGTGTTCTGGTGCGGTGACTACGTCGCAGCCACCATTCCTGATGAGCCAGCAGCGCTCCCAGGCTCCGTCTTCATTTTCAGATCATGTGAGCAAGCTTCCTACCACATGATATCGTGCATAACACGTCCCTGGACTTGAGGCGAACCAAATGGAAATCTTCATGACTTGATTAACGTAACCACAGCAGTTGATTGAGATTGATGATTGTCACTGTAACAGTTATAAATGTGAGTGCCAATTCAAATTAATATAGGTGGTGCAACTCTCAGCTATGCGTCAGTTGATCACTTGTGCACAAAGCATTCTGACAGTGCATGGATGCACTCTCCCCGTATGCATCCTGTGCTTTGTGCTTTTGTGTTTATCCTTTTGTGGTTCCGATTGAAAGGAAACTCAACTGTTTGTTGAGCCAATTGGCATCGACTGAGTTAAAGATTTATAGGAGCACTGCTCCTGGCGTCTTCAGCTGTGTGGTGTGGGTTGGCTATGATTTGCGCAATTCGAAAAGGCCATTACGTGCACAATGGCCAATCGTGACCTGATATGCCAGTGGCCACTGCAAAGTGGATTGGGTATTCCATGGGGAGGAAGCCCATGGATATGCCAATTGCCCTCAACAAGGTGTTGCGAATCCCATGCGCTGCTGGGACAGAAGTCACTCAGTCCTTATGCACTGCTCAATTAATGGCGACTTCAAATCATCCCTGAATCATACTCGCTCAAAGCTGAAAAGAGTCTCACATACAATTGCTCAGGAGGGGGGTTGCCTTTGTTTAACCGCTGTTCTCTTGGAACAGCAAATCTTACCCCCATCCCTCCTGGAGCCCCGCCCCGTCGCTGCTGTCGACGCGCCAATGACCTGTCAAAGGGTATTCAGCAGCTTGCTGGAGACTTCAGGGGCCACTGGGTCCCCAGGCGTCGATGTATTCCCCAGCTCGGGATCCGCCACCGACCACGCCGCCCCCCCTGTGGTCGACGTGACGATTGATGTCATCTCTTCACAACAGGGCAAAGAGTCTCACACTGGTAGCTTTGGATGGGGTTGCTCTTTGTGCGACACACTTTCTTGGATTTGTGTACTTGTTGCAACAATGGATTTCGTGGAAGGGGTTGCCCTTTGTGTCACACACTTTCTTGGATTTGAGGATTCGCTGCAACAATCGATTGCGCACATTCGTTTTAACAAGTCTTACGCCCCTCCAGTCGACAGGACCGCTCCGGAGGCCGCCCTGGACCTGCTGGCCAGAGTCCAGACCGGCGCCCTGCCCGACGCCGTCGCCTTCACCCCCGACTGCGCCAAGATCCTGGTGGCCAACGAGGCAGAGCCCGCGACCGTGGCCGACGGGAGTTTCTTCAACCCCGAGGGATCGGTGTCCGTGATCGACGTCGCGGCCGCCGTGGCCGCGGCGGAGGCCGGCGGCGACACGCTGGCCGCGGCCAAGACCGTGGACTTCAAGTTCGTGAATGACGATCCGGAGAGCCTCACGGAGGCGGGCGTGCGGTGGGTGTGGAGGGGCCAGGGGCTGGGCGGGGAGGCGGACCCCGAGGGGGAGACGTTCAGCAAGGACCTGGAGCCGGAGCAGATCGTGACGTCCAAGGTGTGTTCTCTTTTGTTGCTTTCTCGTCATTTTAGTAAAAAAGACAAAAAAAAGGCAGCAATTTACGGGGGGGTCGGTCTGCCTGGTTTTGGTTTAAGGGTGTTACGGATACAGACCATACGGATGAGACGGACATGAGACAGAGACGGAGCCCCGGCACATACGGACCCTGACAGCCAACCGCCCAATCCCGACCCATCTGCATCTCCGTGACCGTCTCCGTATCGGTCACCATCTCATCTCCTTCCGAGTGGTCCGTATCCGGAACAGTGAGGGCTGTTTGGGGCAGTTGGCGTGTGGGGCGCAGGGTTTGCTGACTGCTGGGAAGGCCGGGGATTTATCGCCTTCACAAATTTTGCACATGATTCTTCGTAATTTTACACGACAACTTGCATGGGTGGATTCGGCAGGAAGGCTGGGCGAATAGCTGCTCTTCCTTTGAAGCGGTTTGACGTAATGGCATTCGATTGGATATGGTGTGATCTTGTCTGGTCTACATTGCATATCCCAAAGGCGATGAAAGCACATGCTTTGCACCGGAATGCATTTAGATTGTTGTTGTCTGTTGTTGCTGGAGTTGTGGACAAGGAGAAGTCAAAGGAACAGTCAGATTTACAGAACAGCTCATCCTGATAGAATGGCCTATTTCCGGTCTAACTCCGCTTCGTTCTTTCTCCCCATCCAAAATTGTAGCCTAACCCCTGTCTCACTCTGTGCTCTTTGGATTTTTTTCTCTTGCTTCTTTGCTAGCAGACTTTCAATACATGTACATAAACATGGGCAATGTTCACACCCATCATCGTGCGAAACCCCCTGAGTGCAGTTGCTTTGATACAAGCGACACACGCTATGCTGGTTTCCCTTCATGCAATAGAAGGCTCTGCATCGTCTTTACACCAGTGCAAAGGAGCCTCACCTTTTCTTGCTCTATTTTTTTTATTTTTTTGTTATGTTTTGCTGTCTGTGTGTGTGTGTGTGTGTGGGGTGTGGGGTGGGGTTGGACGGCAGCAAGTATCCTCCACGCTTCATAAGCTTCTCTTGTTCCTTAACAACAACCCTCTTTGTCCCCCTGTCTCTCTTTTTCACGATGTCTTTCCTCCTTTGATGGCCTTACAACACCTCAACGGGTGCACTTTTGGCCTATTGTTGTGAGCCAGGTACTGTATTGAACCAGCTTGCTCGTCCAGTGCCAGGAATCAGAACATCGGTATTTGAAAAGCACCTCTTGACAGCGTAATCAAAGATAACGACCACCTTTGGCGCTCTGCAGCCGTCTTCTGGCGTTTCTGAATGTTTGTCTGAACCCTCCAGTGCGCCTTGTAACCGACTGTCGCACTTTGCAGGATGGCACCAAGGCATACATCAACCTGCAGGAGAACAATGCCCTCGCTGTGCTCGACCTGACTTCGATGACCATCGAGTCCATCCGGTCCTTTGGGGTAAAGGACTTCAGCGCAGAGGGCAACGAGTTGGACCTCGTTGAGGACGGCAAAGTCGAGCTGAAGAGCTGGGCCCTGTCCGGCCTGCTCCAGCCGGACGTCATCAAGACTTTCGAGCATGATGGGCAGGTATTGTTCTCCTGACACTCTGCACAGCGGCCAACCCGAAGATTTTCAACAGCTTAACCCAGTGTTTCCATGGACTTGGCCAGTATGGATCTGGCGCTCAGTCCCATCTTCGCACAGCATCCTGAGCAGTAACTCCCTTTTCCCACCCCAGTACTGAAGTACACTGAATTCCGCCACTGAATGCGACATACTGAATTTCAGTCCGATTTCATTTTCCGTCTAATTGGCTGAGTTTCAGCCCACATTTTGGGCACCATCTTTCTTGCCCTTTTTTTGCAATCCCCTGCCCAGTGCTCACACACTTTGCGCGCCACGTTGCTTGCCCTTCTTCCCACAGTCATGAGCCCAGTGCTTCACACGGCCGTCAGCCCATGCCCGTGCGCAGCCTTGCGGCCAGACTTCGGAAGTTTCGAAATCGTTGCCTCTCCGGCCAGGTGTACATCGCCACGGCGAACGAGGGCGACATCAAGGAGTACGGCGAGGACCAGAACATCACGGAGTGGCTGGAGAGCCGCGAGGGAGCGGAGCTGGCGGGGCTGACGACGGACAAGGTGGACAGCGCCGTGGCCGAGGCGCTGTCGGACGAGGGCGAGCTGGCGGCGGCGGTCTTCACCGGCGTGGATGGACTGTCCGGGGAGCAGGTGGACGGGAACGACACCTACGACGAGTGAGCACCCCTGTGTCAATGGCCTCAAGTTTCGACGGCGGTGACGAGCGGTTCCGTTGCAGCTGCTGTAGTATATTCAACCATTCCGCATCAAACAGTTTACCGTTACACTTTTTTGCTCCGCATTTTTTTCAGAGCGTTATTTTTCCTTTTCTACGTCTCTCAGCAAGAAAATTGTTAAGCAATAATTATCTATTGTTTTCTCCGCCAGAAAAGACCAAGCGTTACGTTACTATGCGGAAGGGTTGAATATGCTGCGGTGAACGTTTTTTGTGGGGAGAGGCGTTGTTGGTCCGTGCTGTGACATGCATTCCGATTTTTGTGCGATTAATGTTTTTTTTGGTCCAGAATGTTGCATCATATTTCACTGTCGTGGCGTTTTGGAATTTAACAAGGAAGCGCTAACTGCACAAAAATCGGAATACATGTGCGATTGCACGTTGCATGACAGATGCCACATACACATGTATAAGTAATACACCCAAGGCCCGACCCAAGGCCAGCAAACGTGTCGGTTTGAATGATCATGCACACGCTGACATGTGCTTTGTGATTCGCACTGGGCAGTGCAGTGTACGATAAAGCACCAAGCATCGTTCTGTAGTTCCTGGTCCGTCTGCTCATCGCACACCATGAATGTTGGAATGCTGCGGCTCTGGGGATGGAAATGGGGATCGATCGGTACTACCGATTCGGTAGTCACTTCGGTTCACGGCGCTTCAGCGGGTGGATCTTCGGAGCGCAGATGCCATCGACTTTTTTGCGACGCCATCAATTTCATCGTCAAAATTGGACCCATTTGTTGGATTAAGTATCAGCTGGATTGGTAATTGGGCCTTAGCTTCGCTTAGTCAGCGCGCATCGGATGACCGGTGGTCCATCGAATGCGACACCTGCACATGACTCCCTTCGTGCTGCTAATTGCAGTTTCCACTCTCTTGATAATCTCCATTGGCTTCAATATCTATTCCAGTGGTAGCGGTATGGCAATTGTACTACATTTTCAGCAATCATGGTGTCATGATGACATTGCTTATTGAACGGCTGGCATTTTGTGCCACAGGCTGTTCCTCTTCGGTGGCCGCAGCTTCAGCATCTTCCTGCTGGAGGACATGAGCCTCGTATATGACAGTGGAAGCGATTTCGAGAGGGTTATTGGGACGTACTTCAACTGGACTTACAACACTGACGACCCGGCCGGATGGTGCACACAGGCGCCCCCGCCTATGGCGGAATCAGCATTCCCCAACGCCGAGGTGCGGAATTTCCGCTGTGTATCACGTATTGCCTTGGAAGTGTGGGCTGCAGTTTTGGCTGAGGACACGTCATGACTAATGTATTGATATGCTGTGTCATTATGCATTTCTCAGCTTCTGAAAGAAAACATCGACGCGCGGGATTGGGGCTCAATGTTTCTGAGCACGTTCCGGACGGTGTGCTGTTGGAGGCGACAAAGCAATGGGCACGTTCTGAGCAGTACTGCGGTGATACTCATTGCCACACTGTGGCGTTCATACAGAATTGTCGAAGGGCAATCGAATGACACAACAATAATCAGCACAGCCGGAAGCATGCATGGAGGTTCTCATCAACGCATTGAAAAAATTCTTCCAGAAGGCTACTTTGAAGCTGTCTCATGTATGGTGCTGGAAACCCTCAAAGGGATTTAATGGATCAACTTGCGATCCGAACTTTTAACAGCAGCTTCACAATATCAGGGTGCTAATGCCAATTCATCAAGTGCATAAAGGAGGCTTGAAGTTCATTGTGCAGGGAGGCGTGCTGCCACTGAATGGGGCTGCCTGACTCTTGTGAAGGACTTCAAAAGATCAACTCAAGATTTTCGTTCATGTGCATCGCAGCCACATCCAGACGTGGCTGCGATCCCCGAGAACGAAGATCTAGTGTCGATACGAATCAGGGGATCGTGTGTGCGGAGAGCGCATGGGTTTTGGGAGTTGTCCAATGCTGATGTGCACAATTTCAAGTGAGTGCTGCGCTCATTGATCTCCAAGTCTGCTCATGGTCAGGCGCTCATGGACCCAGACCAGCTGGAGGAAGTCATCATCAAAGCGGAGGAAGATGCTGCGGCCTTCGCCCAGAGCCCCGACCCGGAGGCGGAGGGGTTGGAGGAGCCCAGCAACGCCCTCACCTCCAAGCCCTCGGACACCTTTGACGTGGAGTCTACCAGCAAGGGCCCCCAGCCTGAGGCCATCGAAATCGGCTTCTTGGGTGACAGGTGGGCAGATTGCTGTTGAAACTGTGGGATTCTTTGCACTCATTCCCTTGTGGGTGAAATCTGTACTTCGGGCAGCGGGTGGTGAGTCGGCGGGTCAGGCGTCGAATCACGCAATAGGCACAACAATTAGTGACTTCTCCGGTCAAGCAAAGAGACATGTGGCCAATCAATGAAGACGTGCTGTGTATCAGTCTTCTCGTCGGTCAGTTGCCGGATCTACGGGCCAAGGATGAGGGAGCACAATAGGACAGGACAGGGCGGACGATGTGCCTGTCTTATTTTGGTCGCTGTTTGTGCCACCAGTTTACAAACGAACAGGCAGGAATGCGGCTTCGTGGACCGCTTTTTGTTGGAGGCTATGGGACTCTTGTTCTCCTTCGTCGTACTTGTGTTTGAATGCGCTTGCCTGCTTAAGGCCACCATTGAAAGCGTCAATCAATCAGAGCGTCGTCAGACTTGAGTTCAATGAGCAATCGATGGTCATGGCGAATCCCATTTCTTGCAGCAGCGGCTCCTCCGGGCGCCAGGCAAAATCTTCCGATCCTTACTTGATCAGCGCGGTGAAAACTGGTTTCCTGGTGTGTACATCCCATCTGATGAAAGTGTCCCTTATCAAGGACCATGGTGGCATGGTCATGATTGCGTGGGAACAGACGAAATCAGTGGCAGATTTGTACACAAGGCACCCCCAAACCCTGGGATCTTTTGCGCGGGCCATTGCTGAGAACACTCTTGTTTGACTTCTCCTGCATCCTCCCGTCGCAGGCGCATACTCATAGCCACCGTGGAGAAGGGCGGCGTTCTGTTCGTGTACGACATCTCCGACCCCGCCGCGCCGGTTTGGCAGTCCGCCGTCTACCCGGGCGCCCACGGCTCCACCTTCGCTGAGCTCTACAACTCGATGACTCTTGCGGACATCGATCCTGAAGGATTGGGCTTCATCTCCGCGGAGGATAGCCCCATTGGTGAGCCGGGGCAAGCTGGCATTATTCTGCGGCCAGTATCAGAGGAGAATGCTCTGCTCACACAGTTCCTCTCCCTGTTCAAACTGGGTTGATCTACTAGTTATATCCAATCCTGTAGCGATAATTTGCTGCTAGCACATGATATGTATCATGTGCTAGTAATAATGATATGAAACGGTAGGCTGTTCTGCAGAGATAGTTGTTAGCAATATGTGGCATGCGGATATTTTCCGAGGACATTTTTGTTGTCAAGAGCCGGGTGGACCAGTCGTGGCTGGGCAAATTGCTTGCGCTGCGTTTGCCGTCACAGGGCAAACGGAGCCAATTCAATTGCAGGCAATCACGGGCACATGCACGTCCAATGCGCTGGCGGAAAAGCGGACGTTTCGCGTTTGCGCGTTGCGTTCGCCCTGCAATATGCTGATATCATATAGGTATGGCAAAGTGTGCAGCACAGGTTTGACACCAGCGTTAGCTCATGTTAATGTATTGTTTGCATGAATTCATTGCATTCTAGGATTGCATGAATTGATTTCATTGTTTTCTTTCTCATACTGCACTGTTTTATGGACCATGCCGGGATACCGTGAGGTCCTGGTCGTGTTGTCGGTGCCGCTGCTCACCAGCGTTGTTTTGGACCGCAGACGAACCTCTCCTGGTGGTTTCGGGGGCGGTGAGCGGCACCGTCTCCATCTACAAGATCACCACCGCAGAGATCGAAGACGATTGCCCCGCTGGGGAGCCCATATTCGAGGACGACGGCAAGAAGGCCACGCTCATCTCGACCACCACCAACTGCTGATCTGGGGGCCCGGCGACGCACCCTTCGGGGCGTCATCGACCCTCTGACTCGTTGGTCCGGATTGGTTCCTCGGCGCCGTGCATTGGAGTGCGCACGGCCTGTCAGCGAATACCCCGGCGCAGTGTGTCATTTGTAGATGGCGATGGAAGTCCTGGATACTACCCGGTGGGTGGGCTGGACCAGTACAATCTGTTGATCAATTCGCTGCTGTTGGCCAAGGTGCGTGTGCGCTCAGGGATGTCCACAAGGCTGTTGTCCGGATTGAGGGGTTGGGTGCATGGCTGAAGCATCGTGGGAGTTTGGCACCCTGGGGTACATCTAAGCTATCGTTGTTGAGGTTGGGACGCACTTGACGCCAGGTTGATCGGAGCTATTTTTTTGCTTGGGGCTAATTATACGGACGGGTTTGAGCCACCTCGTTACACAATATTGCTGGGGAAGTGTGGAATTGTTTGTTTGAGCTGGGCATGTGTCGCTCAAACCGAAGTTGTGCTTGGTCGGTCAGAAGCACTGCTGTAGCCAATTCAGGGCTGTGCCTCACCGGGTTTTGCAGCCTGTTCTTTGTAAAAGGTTCCGAAAGCCATGATGGGCAAGGGGTAAAAGGTTCGCTACATTTCAAAGAGAAACAGGTCCTACAGATGGCGATCCCGTGCTAAGCAAGTTGGAGTCTCCAGCTCAAGAAGAGGAGCACACAACACAAACAGCACGAGCAGCAAGAAACATGCACTCAGAGTGGGCGGGACGCACACAGATGTGCTTTCCGACGTTCGCTTTACCTTTAGTTCGGAGCGTATTGCCCTAAACCCGTCCCAAACGTTGCCTTCACGGCTTGGAAATCCAAACGCTTTGCGGACTTTTGCGCTCCGAGTGGCCAACACGTTGGGCCTGACCCCACCGCCGATCGCAAACTGGTGGCACCACCACAGCCCACAGCCCGGGTTTCCTTTGTCTTGCCGGTCCTCTTCCAAATCATTCAAACAATCGGAGATCGGCGACTGTCCATCAATCAACCAGTCCAAGGTCCAAGGGCGGGCAACACGATCACCGCGCGTCCCCTTGATGCCGCGCCCCATGCAACATCGTAGCACATCGCAGGGCGGCTCAGCCGTCCGTCATTGATGCATCATGTCAGTCTAGCACATCATCCCCGCAACCGTCCTTCCTCCCCAAAGTCCCTCCAGCGCAGCCAGGCACTGACCCCGCCGCCCGCAGCCACGACGCCCGCGCTCCGCCGACAGATCGACGTGGATCCAGCCCACCTCCATGGCGGCCGCCACCGCCAATCACCCCCGCGCCGTTCCCAGTACTAAAGTACTGGGATAAAGTACGTCAAGCACTAAAGTACTCAAGCACTGGGGTAAAGCGTGCCAGGTTGCGTTCCACCAATCCCGGGCATGTACACCTTCCGGGATTCAGCCCGGCCGGCCGGATCCCTGCGTGGCGCGACGCGGCCCAAATCGCACAATTACGCCCAGCGACGTAATGACGACCTCTTGCGTCCGCCCATCCCGAGGTGGCTCAACAGCGCCCGGGGCGCGATCGCCTCCCACAGCGCGCCCCGAGCCAAGCCCTTCAAAAAAATATGGCCACCCGGCGGCAAGCCACGGCCGGAGCCCGTGCGGCCCGTCTGGGGATCGCGTGCCTGGCGTCGCTGTGCGCGCTGGCCGCAGCGGATCCCGTCGTGCTGGAGCGGATCTCGCAGACGTACCTGCCGTTCCAGTTCTCGCCCGCCGGGGATCCCGTCTTCTGCCTGGGTGAGGCCGCCGCGGAGCAGCTGGCCTACGACAGTGCCGCGCGGGTGGTCTACGTGTCGGGGAACAAGGTGGGGCTGCCGCGGCCGGCGCTGATTCGAGCTTCCGCACGGGACCCGGCGCGGGGGGGCGGTTCCTCCATGTCTGTATGGACGGACCTGCGAATGCGCGCGCAGAACGCGGCAGCAGAATGCGACCACATCTACGAATGGGGAAAGGGATGTCGGAAGCGAGGCGGGGTAGAGGAGGAGGGGCGACGCCTGTCGTACGGGCGGCTGCTCGGCCGCTTGGAGCCTTAATGGCTATGCAAACTTCAGAGAGAGACGAATTTGGATGCACAGATTCTGGGTATTGGGCAAGGCGGTCCTGCGCCGCCGGCTTTGGCGGTCTCGCGGCGGGAGGGGGCGGCGAGAAGTTGGGCCCATTGTTGCGACGGTGGATTGCCTTTTCGGCTCGCGACGGCCGGCGGTCGTGGGCGGCGGCGACGTCGGCCCGCTCGCGGCTTCTCGCCCGTCGACGGTCGGCGCTTCGGCCGTGGTTTGCCCGCGGAAACGGGGCTGGCGCAACGAGCGCCGGCTCCGACCGCCTCCGATCAGCATCATGATGGGCGCGCGCGATGTGACGGCACACATGCTTGGGCTCAGCGACACCGCGCGGGATGCAAGGGGGGCCTTGTGCCGGGACGGGCACATTGACATATTCCCCTCACCGCCCCCTCTTCCACTCGTTCTTGTGGGTGCAGACCGCGCACAAGGAGGCGGTGACGTCTCCTACCCATTGAGTGGGTTTAGTTTTTTAGGTTTTAGGGTTAGTTTTTTTATTTTTTTAGGCTTGTTTAGTTTTTTAGGGTTTAGGGTTTCCCGGTGCCGAGACGGTGACGGAGACGGAGACGAGTTATAGGAGTCGGTGGGCGTCAGGGTTGAGGGCGTGTATGTGCTGGACCTCCGTCTCCGTGTCGTCTCCGTGCTCTTGGACTGCATCCGCAACACCCTCGTTCTTGCATGCAAATTGTTTCGTGGGTGCGCTTCTGCGAGGACCAAAATCTGTCGAAAAAACGAATGAGAACGCGGTCGCGATCAAGCGGTTTGGTCATTGCGCGACGCGCATCGCCACAGAGGCAGAAGAGTCGTCACATATGTGGCAGAGGCGGTGGCGCGTCCGTCGGAATGGTGAAGGCAAAGACAGGACCCAGCGGCCACAAAGCTGAAACAAAGCTTATGTGCGGCGCTGGGCGAAGTGTGCGCAGATGTGGCATTCGAACAGAAGCGAAAGTCAAAATGTAAGGGAAAATGTGGAGCAAATAGGAGTTTCCCTCCGCTTGAGTGCGATGCCGCTGTGCCCGAACGGTGAGTCTTGATTGCTGTTCAGTGTTGACAATTGCCAAATGTTGGCATTGAGTATTGATGGCACGGGCCAAAGCGCAATAAAGTTTGTGCAACAGTTTTTTCGTAGTGTCAAGAACATTGCTGGCATGTGAGTTCGTCAATCCGCAACGGATGAAGAAACGTGAACAGAAACTGCGTGAAATGGTCAAATAATTTGCTGGTGGAACGAGGCCCACCAGCGGCGCCAGATAGTCACTTCGATCGTTTCCAGTCAGCTTCCCTTGACAGTAGACCTGTGACGTCAGATGTGAAGGCCCTGATGTTGACCGCAATGGTGCGTACCGTACAATGTATGGACCGTAATGCACCAGTACTGGTGAACAATTGGCCAATAACTGGGGACAACGTTACAAGAGTTGGTCCCAGTTTGAGACGCCTTTCACTGCAATTATCCGATTGTCAACAATTCAATATTGCATGAGCTAGGAACGAAGTTGCAAAACTATAAAATTTAAACGGATGACAGAAATTGTAGGAATTGCAGAATTTGGCATGCACTTGGCAGCTTGATAGGCGCTCTTTGACTGAAAGCCACCTGATGCATAAATGGCACAATCGCCCACAGGTTCTTTAAGCTGATTGGCAGAGTCACCTGTGGATGCCAATCGTTTGTGTTTTTTATGCCACCCAGCTACTGAGGGTGTTGGACATCGAAGACCCTGCGAATCCCATTACGTCCGTAACCGTGGATGTGCCTAACGAGGTGACAGACGTGTATTGGTGCGGTGACTACGTCGCAGCCACGATACCAGCGGATCCGGAATCCCTTCCAGGATTCGTTTTCATTTTCAGCGCATGTGAGTGGGAAAATTGGCGTATGTGCTGTGCTTGAGAGTTCGAAGCCCTTGCAGTATATTGGTAGCGATTAGTAACGACTGGTGCATAACCATTGTGTTCTTGCCTTTCCGAGCCAGGCAAGCGGGATTATTTCGTGCCCATCATTCGCTTCCATGTCCACGGTGTTGCCGCTGCTATATCATTCCTCGAATGAATACTGTAGTCTCCAGCACTTGGCAAGAACTGTAGACTTATCATGCACCACAGCAGTTTGGGCTTAGGGTGCACAGTGCGCATGCCACCTTTTCGGATAACATGTCATATAATCCTGCAAGTTTGCTTCATTGACAGTGAATCTTGTTCTCAGTACATCTTTGTGAAGGAAATTCTGTCAATGGGAATGACTTGCCCAGGGCAACTATGGCATTGACCTTGCTTTACACCGACCCAACAGTCGATTAGGAATAACTCATGCTACTCATCAGCACTCGTCATCCACAACAATTCCCATTAAATACAAGGAAATTTTCGTTTTGTGCACAGCACATCCTGCAGATTCATCTGGCGTGGTCCTTGAGAGAAAATGGTGCTGGCTTGCCATTTCTGGCGGGCGTATGTACTCTTGGTTCCAGCAATCAACCAATCATTTCTTCTGGTTGTTTAACCAACCAACAAGATGTTGCGTATCAAGGCAAAGCTGTTGCCATGCTCACCCATTTGCGCACTAGAATGCAGCGTTGACGATTTAGCCCATGAGAATGCACAGCAGTGCAGGCACAATTACCACCAGCTTCTGCCAGTTCGAATTCCATGGAACGCATTGTCGCTGGAAAAACATCAGGAACAACGTCCTGACAGGGTCCTGACAACGTGGCTGACAACGTCCTGGCATCAACCTGGTAGATGTACCAAGGTCTGGAATATCGTCCAGTGGTGTTAACCAAAAAGACGACTGTGGTTGAGGCCAACAGGGCCAATCGATGACAATTGATAGTTTTAGAAACACAATTCAACAAAGTGGAAGAGATAGTCCACAAACAATACACAAACAATGCTGCCGAAACCACGCAGCTGGAACTCGAGTATGCCTGCACATGGATGGCTGCATTGATCAGGTATTGGGATGACAACAGCCTCTTGGATGCATGCTGCTCAGTCCACCAATTGACAGGTGGGTCCCTTGCAGCACCCAATCGTGTGACTAATGCACTGAGGCTTGATAGTCCTGCCTCCCTGTGCCAGACAAGAGAGAGTCCCCGGAGGCTGGCCTGCCACTCCTGGCACAGGTAAAGGTGGGGGCCCTGCCTGACGCCTTGGCCTTCACACCCGACTGCGCAACCATCCTGGTGGCCAACGAGGCTGAGGCGGGCGTCAACAAGAAGGGCAAGTTCAGCAATCCAGAGGGGACCGTGTCGATCATCGATGTTGCAGCCACCGTGGAGGCTGCGGGGAGCGGGGGGGACGTCCAGGATGCGGTGAAGACGGTTGATTTCAAGTTCATGAACAAGGATGCCGATAGCTACACAGAGAAGGGGGTGCGGTGGATTTGGCGGGGCCAGGGTCTGGACAGTAAGAAGAAGGCAAAGAAGGAGACCTTTAGCAGGGATATCGAGCCCGAGCAGGTCGTGCCATCAAAGGTGCGAGCAGATGGGGCCAGGAGACATAGTAATGATAGAATTGGCATTGTGCATTGAGATTGTTGCATAGCGTAATGCATTCATAATTTACAGCTCATTTTGGACAATATTTGTATTGCGTTGTGTATTAAATGGCAGCAATTACCTAAATTTGGCATTTCCATGAGACAAATCATTGCTCTGTCCTGTTGTCGATTTGGCATGCTGGCCACAAAGGCAAAGGCTGCTTCAAAGGGCACGTTTATGCCATCTCGTCAAGGGGGTGTAACATCATAAGTTTGTACCATTCAGGGTGCAGGTGGAGCTTTTGCAACTTTGTGTGGTGCACAAGCAGTTTTCACATTTTCTTGCTCAGGAGAGTGAGTGGGTTGCTTGGTTTTCTGCTGAGAACCACAATAATTTTGCCTTCTTTGAGATTGAGCACTCATTTTCAATCGAACAACTTTTCACACAGACAACCACATGGGATTGCATCAGCCTTTTCTTGCTTGCACCAGGTCCACAATACTACTGTCAGGATGAGGTTGGTACCTGGAGTCTTGAGCGCTATGTAATACTTTGGAATTGCAACATGGGCAATCTTTGGATCGTCGATGTATTGAAACAAACACATGCCCTCCAATCAGGACGGGAAGCGTGTGTACATCAACCTGCAGGAGAACAATGCCATGGCTGTGCTCGACCTGGAGACCATGAAGATCACATCCGTCACATCTTATGGCATGAAGGACTTCAGCACAGCAGGCAACGAGGTGGACCTCATCGAAGATGGAAAATTTGAATTGAAGAATTGGCCTGCGAAGGGATTGTACCAGCCTGATGTCATCAAAGTATTTGAGCATGAGGGAAAGGTGAATAACCGATTGAATTTCATGTTGTTGGACATTTTTGCTTTCCATTGGACTTATGTTGCTTTCGGTACAGCCAAGTTCTGTATGATTGCATTGCGTGGCTGTGTGCTGTTGCCTTGGGCCTAGGAGACTTTCAAACCTTTGTGCATGACAGGGGAAAACCTGTAAAATCGTAGTGGCAAGGGGCGCGCTTGGTCTTTCGATTGGCCAGTTCAGCAAGTTGCAATGAAATGAAGCATGGAAAGGGAGTGCCACACACTTTCAGCTGCTTGGTCTTTCGATTGGCCAGTTCAGCAAGTTGCAATGAAATGAAGCATGGAAAGGGAGTGCCACACACTTTCAGCACCGGGTGGGGTGGGGTGGGGGGCCCTTGCATGGCCCACTTTTCTCATTGTTGCAGCGAATTCTTCATTTACTCTTTCTCGCTATGCCCTGCAAACGACCGCGGAACAGCGGTCGGGGGACGATCGTGTCAGCGCACCATGCCAAAGTGCTGCATTGGGAACATGATTGTCGATGCAAAACCCTGGAGCAGCGCCCTGCGAATGCAGACGCCGCGGCCTCCCGCCCCTCAGCATCTGAATCGACACCACACCTGCACTGGCGCCTTCCCTTCCTCCCCCTGTTGCTTGTGTTGTGTGCTCATCATTTTGCATCTGAGCCTCTGCATCATCTTTTCACAGCTTGGGAAGAGTCTCGCAAGCACTTGCCAAAGGATGAGATGCCCTTTGTATGGCCTGTTTCTTTCTCTCCTTGTAACAAATCTTACCCTCCCTCCTCCGTGCCTGCACTGTCATTCACCGCTCCCCAAAAAGAAAGGGCGACCGACAGTCGCTTGCATTCCTTCCGCCAAGGAAGCATTCGTTCGTTCCTGTGGGCTGACAGCCCTCTGTGCGCCCCCCTCAGCGCCATGCTGCTTGCGTTGTGTGCCCATCATTTTGCATAGGAGACTCTAAATCATCCTTTCATGGCATGGAAAAAGGTCTCAAATACACTTGCTTACGAGGGGTTGCCCTTTTCGCATGACCCGTTTCTTTCTCTTTGTAACAAATCTTACCCCGCAGAAACTGCGGGCGACCCGCAGTTGCTTGCATTCCCTCCGCCAAGGACGCATCCATTCGCTCCTGCGGGCTGACAGCCTCCCATGTGCTCCCGTCAGCGCTACATAGCCACGGCGAACGAGGGCGACATCAAGAAATACGGGGAGGACCAGAACATCACGGAGTGGCTGGAGAAGCGGGAGGGCGCGGCCTTCGAGGGCCTGACGAGGAAGACGATCGACGCCAGCACCGAGCAGGCGCTGGTGGACGAGGGCCAGCTGGCCGCCGTGACCTTCAGCGGGGTCGACGGGCTGTCCGGGAAGAAGAAGGGGGGCAACGACACGTACAACGAGTGAGTGAGCCGTTCAGGGGAGGGGCGGGTGCGCCCTTGGCCTCAAGGAACCTTGGCCTCGATCGTTCGTCGTTCTGAACGTTTGGGTCGATTTCTGAGCGGTTTGCAGTGTTTGGCCATGGCGATATGACTAATGTTCGTAAAGTTCATACAATGCTGCATGACGTCCTTGCAATGCTGCACTGTGTTGTGCAGGTATTCTCAACCACTGTTCACACAGTTCATACAATTTTCACAGAAAATTGCACAATATGTTCATAAAATAGTATATAATACTCAGTGCAATATATTAGCGATTCAGTCTTGTCGCTGACGATGGGGGTTGTTCGATCGTTTGGTTTTGGTGTGGGGATGCACTGTCTGTTAGAGAGATTGCAGTTTTAGCAAAATGCTATTGCATGGCGGAGTGGATGCAGATAGGAACAGGAACTCTTCTTGGATTCCAACTATTGGACGCCTTGTCATTGCCGTGCCTTGTTGCAACCTTTGCCATTTTTATGTGCTTGAGTACGCAAGCCGACGCGTCGCCTCAAGCGAATCACTCCTCGGTTCCTCGCCGTTCTGCCCAGTGGACCTCGCCAACTATCCTTTATCTAGCAAGGGCATGTGGATGGGCGGTAGTAGCAGAAAAGGATCCTCGGAATCCTTTTGTAGCTGCACAAAGGCGTTTTCTTACTCCAAATATCACATCGCAAGTAAGAGGCGTGATGTGTTGTTGTAATTGACTGGGTTGTATGGTTGGCAATTTTCCCCAAACATTTGTGTGCACGTTGGGCAATAGTTGCTGAACGGGGTACTGGGGCACTGCAGGGAATTGCAAGTTGCCCTTCGCTCGAGTCCTGTCCACTGCCCAGGCAATATGCCCAAGGCTGCAACTTAGTTCAGCGATGTATCGGTTTCTGTACTTAGTATTCAAAATCGCTGTACATTCCAGAAGAGACGATCCATCGGATTTGACTCCCGGGTGCACCGCTCTCCCCAGGCTTGTCCTCTATGGTGGCCGCAGCTTCAGCATCTTCCTGGAAGAGGACCTTAGCCTGGTGTACGACAGTGGCAGCCTGTTCGAGTCAGTCGTTGGCAAATACTTCGCCTGGACCTACAACACCGATGACCCGGACAGCTGGTGCACCAGAGCGCCTGCCCCCACTGTCGAATCGGCATTCCCTAATGGCGAGGTAAGGAACACATTGCCACGCTTGATGTGCAGCCGCCCTTACATATATTTGCCATCGACTGCGGGCTGCACTCAGCACGGTCTGATGTGCGCACGGTTGGGGTTTCGCCGTGTAGTTGGATGCAGTATTTTGTAATGTACTGCTACACATGTTGGCGACAATAAACAGGACACATGAAGAACTGCTGCCCTTGTGCCTATAGACAGGAAGGATGCTGATATCGTCTGCAAATTATCGTCCCTGCAAGTTTTGGATATGCCCATTGCAAGCGAAACTGGATGAATGCTTGGCATTGATGATAAGCTCACATGGTGGCGATCGCGGGCACATTTTGTCGCCCTCCGGCAACACAGGGAGGCAGTCCTAAACGACATGTGGGCTGCAAACCAATTACTCACGGCCATGGAGTGTATCTGAACTGTGTAGGCAGCGACTTTGGCGCTGCACTTTGGTAGATTGAAGTTTGCTTCACCCATTTATTGATTGCGCTGGGGGGCAAGCAGGCCATTTCCTGTAGTTGCGACCTTTTTTGCATTCCTCAAAATCGTGTGGTTGAGTCACGTGTGGAAACTGGCCCAACTGTTGTGCAGTTGTGCTATTTCTGCAAAAGAATCCGTGAAGTGCATTTGTCAGGAGGCATGACAAGTAAAGCTGCCCACGAATTGTCCTGAGAGGCATCCAAGCATCCGTCCAGTGTCTTTCGCTCTACCGTGGTCGCAATTTCCCACACCAACCTGAGATGATCAGCTGGGCGAACGTCACAGTGGCATGCACAGTGTCCACGACCCTCTGAACACCAGGCGAGATGTGGCAAATGTCATGTTGCGGACCCATGCCGTGAAAGGCACGCTCTGTCCTGTGCGACTGTTGAAGGATGCGTCCACGTACACGCTTTCTTTCACGCACTTTCACCACCGTTTCTGACCTGGCCCTTTTGTGCGACCGCAGGCGCTCATGGACCCACAGCTGCTGGAGGAGGACCTTGCACAGGCGGTGATCGATGCGGACGCCTTCGCCATGAGCCCCAATCCCGAGGCGGATGGCCTGGAGGAGCCCAGCAACGCCCTGACGTCCAAGCCCTCCGACACCTTTGACACGGAGTCCACCAGCAAGGGCCCCCAGCCCGAGGCTCTGGAGATTGGATTCCTTGGCGACAGGTGACGCTGCCACGGCGGTTGTGTTTTGATGTCTGGCAACACGGCATTGGGTCTGGCAGAGGCGTGCTATAGGCTACTTTTTTTTCTGCGACAGTAAAACTGTTCTTTTCCGTGACGATGTTTTTGCCGCATTGATCGTGGCTGCACAGGCGTCGGATTTGGTCTGGATGTTATTGTCGCATAGGTTATCTGCTGGCGCTGTGCCGTTCAGATCATTTGTCAATCAAGTCGAGGAGACAAATCGGCGTAGCAGCGAAGGGACATTGCATTTGCATGCAACGGGATAGCGGCCGGGACCGTTGTGCGCTCCAGAAATATGGTGTGAAAGAATCACACAAAATGGCAAACACAAATTGTCGAGGATCTGGTCGAGTGCAGTCCGCTGAAATGTTCAATTGCTGCTACCAATCAATTTTAATTTGCTGCAAGGAAAGGCAATTGAACCCCAAAGTCCCAACAATGTCGATGATATTGTATGAGAAGAATGTCCTTGCGCCAAGGGGGTTTGAAGCACACGGATATCTGGCGTGCTACTTCAAACATCGCAATATCGGCTATCGATTCCAGACTCTGGAATCCAGAGCCCACCACCATACATCATCACCGGCTTTATGCCAAACGTGGTACGCATCCCCATGACCAGAGCGATCGATTGCTGGAAATGACACCAAAAGACGGATACTATTGCACCAATTGGACACTTGCAATCCATGATCTGAACACTGAACGGAGTGCATCAGAGCCATGTTTTGCGCCAGTGTTTCATTTCTAAGTCCGCGCCGCGATCCTGACGCCACCCACCACGTGTGGCGCAGGCGCATTTTGATATCCACCGTGGAGAAGGGCGGCGTCCTGTTCGTGTTCGACATCTCCGACCCAACTGCGCCGGTGTGGCAGTCCGCCGTCTATCCGGGCGCCCACGGGGCCACTTATGCGGAGCTCTACAACTCAATGACCCTGGCGGATCTGGACCCCGAGGGGCTCGACCTTATCTCCGCTGAGGATAGCCCCATAGGTGAGCGAGGATTGTCCGATAGCAATCATTACCGGATGTAAAGGTCATGAAGGAGTAATGAAGCTCATGAGGTGTACTGGCGGCCTATCTAGATACGCTAAACCCGCAAATGGCATTCATGACTTCATACCTTCAAGGCCTTCATTTGTCGCGGCTTATGCCAGTGTTGTTTCGCGTTTGTTCGTGTTTCAGAATATGTGTATGTAACAAGGGAGGTCGTGTGTGACATTTCTTTCCTTGCGTGATATTGGTGAACAATTGACCGAATTACTGGCTTCCGTTGCACAAGCTGCCCTCTCCTTGATTCTTTCCATTTCTCTCGCACTCAGGGATCCCGTTGTTGCTTTCCCACTTGGTTTATGCATTTTTAATCTTTTCTTAGATGCACAGGGCGTTTCAGGTCTAGGATGGTGCAGACACCGCTTCAGCAATCAAATACAGTTGAAGTACGGACGGAAAAATTTGTGGCAGACGGCGGAATAGTATCATAGAAATGATGGCGAGGCAGGATCCATGTCACCCTTTTTCCCCGTTGCTGTTTTTCCATCATCTTGTAGGCCATCCCATTTCACAACAAGGCCTCACGATGGCTGACACATCAATACTGGACATCGTTCTTCCCAAATCACGAGTGTTCAGGACGCGGGTGATTGACGGAAAGCAACATGCTCGACTCACTGACAGAGCGTCATCGACACATGAATGGAACGTCAGCAACACATCAACGGGGTGTTGGACATCGACAAACGATTCTGGCCACATCCATTCCCCCAATTGCCGTTGTTGCCATGGTTGCAGAATTCGTGTACAGAGACAGAAAGTTCTGAACGCTGGCTGAAAGTTCCTCATGATAGAATTCGACAGCGCAACAAAGCGGAACTGTCTGCCATTACAGTTGGGACCGTAAGATAAAAGGCCCGCAAGAAGATCTTCCTATTTGCAAGAATTCACTTGGATTTAATTCGCGGCATCTCAAGATGCTTTTCCTGCCGTTTTGGCCGTTTTGCACCCTGCCTCTCTCACTTCTTCCCTGTCGTGAACGCAGGAGAGCCCTTGCTCCTCGTGTCGGGCGCGGTGAGCGGCAGCGTGTCGATATACAAGATCACCACCGCCCAGGTGGCCGACGACTGTCCCAACGGGGAGCCCGTGTTCGAGGACGACGGCACAAAGGCCACGGTCGTCTCGTCCACCACAAACTGTTGATGGCGCAGGGGGCGATATTTGGTTCTAAAGTAGAGATCAGTAATTGGAAAAGGCAAGATACGGGCGCGTCTTGCGATGCATATCGCATGCCTATGCGGCATGTACAGCGCATATACAGCGTATGCGGCACCAGGCACAGGGCGAATCGCAGGCACCTTCGGCAGGAGACGTGAGGGGATGCGACCCGTTGTGTCCCGCCCGGCGCTTATGGGGATTGACGACCATCCGAATAATGCGTGGCATGCACCTTGGCGAATTACTTAGGTCGGACCTTATGGTTGCATTCGCCAAACTTCACGACGTGCTGCTCTTTGCACTTTCTGGGCGACGCCAGTCCAGCTAGTTAGGTGGGCGTAGCTGCTAGGTTCGGGTCTGGGCTGCCGCTCCTCCAGTACTTCCGTAGTATCTGACCGTGAAGATAAAGGCCTGTGCCTGCGATGGGCGACGCATTGGGGGTTTGGACTCCTTGTGGCGCGTCGGCGGTTAACCGATGATTCAGGTTTCAAGAAACGAGCTGCTGGTGCTGGCATCCGGCTTGTGAGGGAGCTGCCTCCGAAGCGGCTCTCGCTTTTCAGCCGTTAGGTTTCTGGTGGCGGGGTCTCTTCTGTCTGCCATTGCATCTGCAAGGAACTTGTGGTGCAATTCCTCGTTCCGTCCGGCCGCGCTGACAAGGCGTGATTCTTGGACCACAGGCCTCTTGCAACCCTCTGTCAAGTTTGCGCCCTCACCCTAATCTCAATGGGCTCGTATCCGGATGTAGAGTTTCAAACTGTGCCCAATAGAGTCTCAAATTGTTCCCAAGTTTGGTTACAACTTGAGGCACAGGTTCATCGAACTGAACCCGAGAACACCATCAATCGGAGCATTGTAGTTTCAGCTCCAGACCCGGCTCCCCAGCGACGGTTCGGCGTATCCGAGTGAACGGACAGAAGTCCCCAAAGTGTGGTGTGAGCATGATGGTGCGGCAACCCCTCCTCCTTGTTCTCTTGCTCAGACCCAATCCTGCCGTCGATACCCAGTCGTTGTCGTCCGTGACGTTGATAAGAACCTGGCAAATCGGTCGCGACGCCAAAAACCCGGTCGATCACGAAACGCCGCCCTACCACGGAACGCAATGCGACACAAAGCGCTTGCTGATATGCAATCAGACTATTGTTAGTCTGGTCAACGCCCCGAGACCCACCAATGCCCGCCAGCGCTTCCAGAAACGCCTAAAGTACAGCCTGGGACACCACGTCATTCTGGACCAGCCAGGCCTCTGGGCATGAAATTCGTCGCTCTGTATTTTCCGTGAAGATCCCTTCTTGTCTCGGATACCCCAAGCCCTAAACCACTGACCCACTAAAGAGCGTTGGCTTTGCCAGCGGAAGAAGAAGGGATCCTCACGGAAAAGACAGAGGGACCAATTTATTCTCGGCCACTGGAGCACATCGCCCTGGCTCCCAACGCCCTTCTTCGTCTCCACGCACAACAAGTCAAGCCTTGGATGTGCCCGGCCGCCCAACGGCGCTGAATCTGCGCGCGGCCCCCGGGATGGGCATGCAAAGTCCGCCAACGGCGCCGGAGCTTCACATGCGCATCGTCCACGTTGCGCTCTGCAGGTCCTAGCGACCCGAGCCTGGCGTGCAATAACGTCCACCCTTGACGCGACCGACACAAATCGATCCATGGCATTCTATGCACGCTCTCACGGGACGATTTCTTGTGAGCGACCTCGAGATGGACATTAATGTGATGCGAGTATTACTGCAGTCTCTATTCCCACACGGGGCTGCCCCATTTGGGCGCGTGTCCTCCTGGGCACGTGTGCTGGCACAGACCATTTGCCGCATGCATAGATCCCGGAATCTGGCTTGTCCTAGTGACGTCACCGATCGGCTCTTGCGCCTATCGTTGACAATCCATTGCAGCCAAGAAAAACAAAAGCACAGTGAAATACTTGGCGATCACGCAGTCTTACCAAACCCACTCAAAATTCCCTGTGCGTACCCTTTTCCTCTGTTCTTTTTGCCTTTTGCCATCGCGGCTCGCCAGATTCTCGACATGTTCGCATTAAGATACTCGCTTGACCCGAGCAGCACCGCTGCTGCTGACTGCGCCGTCTTGGCATCTCGCTGGCAGGCAGCCTCGCGCGATGGGCCCTTCCCCGAGGAAGCGAGGAAGCGAGGAAGCGGGGACCAGCCCCCCTTCCCGCCGGGCTGTTTTTTCCGTTCAGCCTCGCCGGACATTGTCCTAATTGGTGCTGCTTTTCCAAAATTCTGGGTGTCCCCACAACCACGTGACACATTTTTTTACCAATTGGCGGTTTTCCTCCCCAACCAGCAGAACCAAATTTTGGCGGGATCGCCACCAACCTTGCACCTGCCATTCTGTCACCGGCCCCCAAACGCACCACCACCGCCACCGCCAGCCACCGCCCGGCCGCGGCGAGGCCACGGGGGCTCCCTCTCGCTCGACTGCCCGCCCGATCCCCGACGCCCCCCCGCCCAACCCGCTCTCCGTAGATCCCGCCCTCCGCGTCGCGGCAACCGGCGATGGACATCGGGCCCGTCGCCGCGGACGTCGCGGAGCTGCGGCGGCACTGCGATCTGTGGAAGAGGGCCTGCGGCATGAGCCTCGACCGGGCGCGGGCGTCCCACCAGGGCGCCCTGGCGGAGCTGTCGGGTGCGCGGCCCCATCGCCGCCGGGCGCTTGCTGGGAACGGCCCCATTTTCGAAGGCCCCATTCTTTCCGTTTCTTCAATTCGTTCTTACGAGGGTCGAAATGCACTCGCCGCGCCTAGCAGTGGGGGCGGGGGGTTGTTGAGGGCGGACGAGAATTTCTGATCGGGATCGGAGGCGGACCGCCCGGGGTTCTGGGCGCCACGACTCCTTCACGACAGCAGAGAGCAGTTTCTGGAAACTGTGAGTTTTGGAAATTCTGCCAATTGAGAGTTCGAATTCGGAAGGAGGGGGCCCAAGACTGTATGTGCGGCGGCCCGAGAGGCGTTCGAAACTCCTGAGAATGGGGTCCGGCTGCCCCGGAGCGGGGTATGCGGTCGCGGACGCGGAGGGGGCCCCAAAGGACCGGGAGTCGCGCGTGTGTCACTGCGGCGGCTGATGGGGCCCGGGTTGGTCGCAGGGCGCCTGGAGGCCAAGACGGCGCGTGTGAGGGAGCTGGAGAAGGCGGCCAGCGACAGGGACACAAGTGAGCGACAGTGGCACTCCCCGCCGGGGGGCAAACAGACCTGACGCGGAAAATCCTTGCCCCAATCACGCGGCGCAGAAACGAAGTATGGGCCAAACTCTCTGGCCGCCCAATGGTGGAGCGAATAGAGAGGAACTCGGATCTCGAAACTGGGAAAGAACTTAACTTTCCCCGCGTCCTATCTTGGTGCGTCATGGACAGGACGTCGCCGGCTAATCTCCCGCTGTCCGAGACACTGAGATTTGTCGAAGTGGCGCCGGTCCCCTTCGTCCTGTGAGATCCGTGCGCTGCAGCCATTTCTCCCTGCGGGACATGCACTCTATGGTCCCCGCCAAGGGAAGCCCAGGAACAGTTCCTAGACGTTTTGGAATTTGAAATGAAAATCGATCAAGGGGTCTTGCTGTTTGCAGGCGCGGTGTTTATGTGAGGCTAAGGGCGGTGCAACAGTTCCCTTGCCCTGGGCTTGAATGTGGGCCGACAGTACTCCCCTATGGCCCCACATGTGCTGTGTAGGCCAGTCTGTTGGTGTTCACTGAGGCACATGACGATCAATTGCCATGACGACCATAGATCGTTGCCTGTTTGTATGTTTTCCTTTTGGATGAAATGTATTGAGGAATGACAACCATCGGCCATTCACCAACTTGCCCATAATTCATCGTGGACATATGGAGCAGATGACCCAGTGGTCGACGTTTGTCGTGTGCTCGTACTGGCCCAATTTCGATAACGTGCCCATATCGGTAAAATTCACTAGGGCAACAAACGTCTTATGAATGGGTTGAAATTCCAGTGGCCAACTGAGTTTAAATTTCCTCAAGGGATCTCCAGCACTGTGGGTGGCCTGCCGCAGGAATCGAGAACTGCAGGTCCCATCTGGATGGCCTGCTCAGGGAGCTGGACAAATTTAGGTCTGAGGAGGAGCAGCAACCAAAGAGGCTGAAGCTTGATAACGAATTCCTCCTTAAGGAGAATCGTGCCCTGTCCAACAGGGAAGCAGGTTAGTGCCATGCTTGACATGGTTTTGATCTCGCAGCAAAATCCGGCAAAGGCAATTTCATGCCACCACAACGTGCGGTATTTTGGAGTCAACCATCTGAGCAATAAATTGGATCGAAAGAGACAACGCACCACAAGTCTCCTCCAATCCAACCGTTGGTTCCTCTCGCTTAGGAAGTAAACGCCAAGGAACAAGACCCCCAAGAAGTGCCTGATTTTGTTGCCTGAGTCCCTGTACTGCCATTTGTGCTGCAGTGCTCAACGAAGCAAAGGCTGGAAAGCAGGTCAAGAAGCTGGCGGCAAGAGTGGAGGCTTATGCATCAGCGCTGGGGCTTCGATACGAGATCCAGGGTGAGCACAAGGGCCTGTCGTTGGCCATGCAAGCTGAAGCCAGCAGCAGATTGGCTGCTTCAGTCGTTTGAGGCCCAGATCTATGGCAACAACAAGCACTGTTCCAATGGGTCTGCTGACAGCTTTCAGCAGAGCCTTGCTTCGCTAGTTGGGAGCTGTGCAGCAGAGAAGTGGCTTTTCCCTGCTGTTCGCCCATGCCTCAACAATATCAACTGTCACAACGCTATCATGACATTATGTCTTTTGCTGTGTAAGATATGGCACTCTGTGCTTGGGGTCTCACATTGTGCACAGTCTAGTGGAGGCTTTGAAGAAGCACAGGGAGCTGTCCAATTCCTCAAGATTTGTGCTTTTGTTGAATGCATGTTACCCCCAGTATCCTTAAATTTGATGCGAAATAGAAAACAAGAAAGAGGAGAATAGTATTGTTGTCTAAATCACTAGTGCATGTGAATTGGTGCTCAGGCAACAGTTGGTGCATCGAAGTGTGAGCGCGACGTTTTGTCCTATTCTAGAACAAATTAAGCCAAAGCAGTTTCTGACACTGTTGCACATCCCGTTGCAACCATTGAATGATTGTTTGTAACCCACTCAGCAGCAGACATTGTTCAATGCCAGTGGCAAGCCATGGGTCGTCTGCAATCGACAATCGGATTGTACAAGCAGATAGACTCGAACTCACCTTGTGGCCCGCTTGGCAACCCAAATGGTTTCTTGATCAATACGGGGATCCCAATTTTGTGACATTTGCCTTGCATTAAGTGGGCAAGCACTGTGTAGTACTGTTTAGGACTGTTTAGCGCTGTTTAGTAGTAGGTATCTTCGTATTCTTGGGGTGTTTATTTGCCAAATGTTGTGAGGTTCTTGGAGACAGCGTGAGAAGTTGAAGTGGTGTGGAGATCTGGCGTGAGCATGGAGGTGCTGCATCACCAGTGTCACGATCACTGTTTCGTTTTTGCGTTGCTGCAATAGGTGCATTCTATCCGCTCTTTAATATGCTTTTATGCACTTTGATTTGTATATCTTGTGGTTTTGATAAAGGAGACCGTGTGCTGTTTGTGTTCTCACTCATCGACGCCAGCGATCCTTCGAGAGAGTTCCGATTCGGATTGGCGCTGCAACCAGACGACACTTACACAGGTAGCTGTGCCCCATCAGATTCGTCACAATGAATTCCAACACTGATCGATAATCACGCCGTATCGACGTGGACGTTCGATTTCAAATCTAAAATCCCAGGGAAGGGCTGGGAAAATTTGCTCTGGAGCTGTAGAAGCTGCCTTTTATTGAGGTCCTGGCGTAGTTATTTCGAGGTTAAGATTTCGACCTGATTAGTAGGACTAGTCGGCATTCATTAGCATCAATCAAGATCAGTGCCAATAAGTGAAATGAGTAACAAATGATACCATCAATGCTGATTGGCCAGTGGATTATCAATCGCATGCAACCTGGGGGTTCTATCATGCCTCTTTTCAAGTGCTTCCTGACGTTCTCATGACTTGTTATCAAAATGACACTTTCAAGGTGGGAGCAAGTGGATGAACTCTGGCAGCAAAACAAGCGGCGAAGCAGTTTGGGATCAGCGTCCAACATACAAAACTGTATGCAGCAGCTGTTTAGCTGCCGAACGTTACAAAGTCGCTCCTGGCTGCCACTAGCTGCAAAGTCTGATGGCAGTATTGTGCCACTTTGCAATTGAACCAATGAATGTTAAGTCAAGTCATATCTCGACCAGGGACGAGGGCAGTGGCTGCTCACATTCTTATCCGGCTTCATATTTTCGTGCAAGTTTCAAAGAAATATCTTGACCAGGACTTGGGCATGATGCCCTGCAGTTGACTTCTGCGAGCCCCCCGTGCCCAACATGGAGTCGCTTTTGGCGGAGGTCAACCGTTCGGGCCAATTTGCTCGGTTCGTTCGAAGCATGAGAAGAGAGTTTCGAAAGGCCGCTCAAAGCTCGTGAGGGATGATAAATCTACACAACGGGGATGGGACAAGACATGTGAAGTACTGCCGTAGAGTTGCTTTTTCTTGGTTTTTGTTTCTTTAGCAGAAGAGCGGCAGGAGGAATTGCTGGACGACTTTCAGGCCGGTGGCTTGTGTCGTGGGCAGACTGTGCTGTGCCCCAGGAACATGCCCCGGAAATGGACAACGCGGGACTGCTGTTTGCACCCGCTTTGCGTCGGTTTTGAGGAGAGTCCGGTCACCATCGCCACCGCTGCCCTTCAGGCAGCTGATATTGGCTGGCTGCGCCAGGGTATGTCTCAACCAACAATTTGTGCGATAACTGACTGGAAAACTAACAAGGCGCTTCTAGGAAAGAACAAGTTGTCTCCTTGTCGATCAATGCACTTCTGGGGCTGAAAAGAAGTTGGGGGTCGGATGTGCCAGTGCACACGTCGCATAAAAGCATATTTCAAGTGTACATCAATGTACGGATACAGAAGTTAGGTCTGATGCTGTGTCGTTCCCACGTGGCTTCCCATGTAGGCTCGGTACGGTACTGGTAAGTCGATGCTGTAACGAGCGGCTTATGCTTGTGATGCTCTGCGTGAAATGCAACGGACACCAGTTCAGCTCAGCTCTGCCAGGACCCAATGAAGCCCAAAAACCCAGACCACTCTAAAACCTAGTTAAAATAGCATTCCCGATTCCTGCCTCATGAAACAAAGTGAGCACCATGATCCCAGCGAGACTAAGTTGAAACCCACGTCCCTGACAGCAGACACCCGGCAAATCCAACCCATGAATTGAGGTTTCAGGCCTGCAGCACTGTTGGACTACTGCTGAACTTTGATTGTAAAGGCACCTGCACATCAAATAGCACATGCTGGTGTCAGGAGACCATCATATGATGCAGATATTCAGAAGCCTGCCAATTTGCAGGGGATTGTAGAACAATGCTAATGGTGAAAGTGTCCCCACTTCCAGCATTCAAGGTGTGACTGCAGACAACAGGGCAACTTGCTCAGTCCTGTCGTGTGTGCCATGATTTCCCTTCCCTTGCTTGATAGTGGGCGTTGCTGGAGTTGCCGTCACTGCTGCAATGGCTGAAGATCAAGCACTGCCAATTCAGAAGGTGAGAGCACAACCTCAGCAAAGCCCAGTACAAGTCCCAAACCAAGAGGTTCAGGCAACAGTATGATGATAGCAAAACATTGAGCACTGAGATCCACGTGTTGTCAATGCTGCCATTGATGCTCCAGCTTGGCACTGGCATTGCAGGGTTTCAGGGGTTTTCAGGTATCATGGCATTTGTTGCAAATCAAATTCAAATCTCAGCACAGCCAACTGGGAAACACACAACTTCCATGCCTTGTACTCACATGCTGGCAGCTGCATGACGTCCGCCTGCACTGTGCAGGAGACACCGAGGTGCACAAGCGCCCCTTTGATCATGCCACTGGGTATACACAGGTAGTCCGCCGCCAGCGCGGCCGCGGCCTGCCTGCTGTGCGAGGAACGAGGGGCAGACGTCTGGAGGGATACGTGTTGCAGGTATCTGAAATGGTTATCTTGCAGCACGTAGACACCCTGGGCAGTGAACACCACCACCATTCTGCATCAGCCGCATGGTTTGAAGCATCCAATCTCTGTTGATGCTCCACTAACCAACCAGTTTGAAGCATGTGGTGTAGTGTGTCTGCTGTGATCGATTGGCGTGAATCATGCAGCACACAACGTGACTAGCCATACAAGATGCTAAGAACACACATGCCAGCAACATATACAGCATTGGCTCAGGGCAGCACACTGCTGAGACACATTTTGGTCCCTTGCAAGTTCATGGCGATCAATTTCTGCCATGAAGCTGTCACTGGATTACTGTCTAGTCCAGCGATCCACGATGTCGTTTGCAACAATAAGATGTTGCATCTGCTAGGGTGCAGCAGAAGTTTTACATTCGAGGCAACGACAATCACTTCTTGCAGTGCCAGTGTCTGCGCTCCCAGAGCAGGAGTGGGGTTGTGCCTTGATCAGCAAGTTTCTGAGTTTCCAACGCACTGCACAGATCTGCTGCAACTGCAAACTGCAGGCTGGTCATCTGGTTTTTGTTCTTTCTTGTTCTTGGCCTGTTGGTCTACGCTCCCACAGTTCCCAGTACCCACACCAATCCTTCTCAAGAGAGCGCATGCTGGAATTCACTTTGGATGGGCCATTTCAGCCAAGGTTCACGAATTTGAACACCAACGGCATGAAGCAGCCAACCAGGAGTCAGCCCCAGATATTTGCAGGACATCACAGTCGTCCGGTGTTGGAAGACAGGGCATGACAGTGACAGATGTGACAATATCTTTCAACCCTTGTTGCCGTTACTTGATCTCCTTCACAACCAAATCTCCCAAACCAACTCCAGTCCATTTATTCTCATTTTGTGGCCAATCTCTGAAGGCACAGTTTTTTGCAGGAAAAGGAAACATGCCACACCATCGGCATCTCCCCCCTGAGCAAGGTTCTTGAGGCACTTTATCAATACCAAGTCAAAGCGTAAACATGCAGTGTTGTCACACAGCAACACACCACAAACAAACAGAGACAAAAGCACAAAGATATAGACAAACAAATATGGACCAATATATTGACAGACATAGACAGGTGCATAGAACAAATCACTACTCTTTGCTTCCACGGCTTTCTGGGCTACGGCACATTGGCACAAACAAAAGCACCCACCCGGTGGTTTGTCTTGAGGTTGTCAATCTGTTTTTTGAACAGGCTCTGCCAAAACTCCTTGCAGATGAACTTTATCACCTCAAGGCTGTCCCCCAGACGGGGGCGATCCCTTGTGTACCTGGGTGGCGCCGGATGCAACACAAGAATGTGAACACATGGATGCTGGCAGGTTTGTCATCCAGCTATACATAGGCTCAGCAGCAAGAGCATGGGGTCTCTGTCCTGTGACGCTACATCACATTGTGCCCATGAGACTGAAACGTCAGCATTAGATAGGAACTACATGGTGTACTCGAAGTTGCGAACGCATTTAGATTTTGTGTAAACAGAACAAAGCCCTGGGCATTGAGAATTCTGTAAAGAAATGGCCTGCATGCAGTGAGCACCAATGGGGCATTGATACTTTCTACGGGGGCATGCCTGTTGGTAGTCGCCACAGATCGCAGGGAGCTCTTTGGGCTGATGTGGAGTTGGGGCACCAGACGTGCCCAATGAAATGCAATGCTCTGATGCACTGGCAAGTTCGATGCACAGTCATGGCCTTTAAGGCGCAAGTGTTGCTTTTCTCATGCGCTGCTTAAAGACCACAACAATGGACCTGAGACTTTGAGCCTGTGTCGCCCCTTGCACAATGTGACAAAAGCCAAATCAGTGTGGTGCTTGCGCACGGGTGATGTGGATCTGGACATTGACAGAGCCACCAGCACTGAGGGACCAGTTGTGCAAGCCCAGACCACCTGCAGGAAAGACTTGTCATTTGTTGCCTTCTCTGTTCTCATTTTCCTAAAGGCGCACCATGCATGCCTGACGACCAAGCTCGATCAAGGCGCACAAGCGTTGCAGCCATGCACAACGGGATTTCGCCCTAAGAGGCAACACAGGCTTCTGCCTCGGTTGCAAAGAAGTCCAAGAGAGGGCACCCTCTTCGAACAATGGATTTGCAGCCTTCCTTTCCTACAAACAATGATCTTCACGTTGTCCAGAACAAACGAAACGTAAAACATTACTGAACCCCCTCTGCGGTTATGATTTGATGCCATTTGCCAGAATTCAAACAGTGCTATCCTTGGAGCCTTCAGGGCCGTGTTTCCTCTCTGGACAATTGACTGTCGTTGATTACAGGCCAGGCCTCATGCACCCCTGTGTGGAAAGAAACATTGGGCAAATTCCTTCGCAAAACCCGCTCTTTTCCTAGGCACCTCCAGGTGGCCCCGGTTCCTTGGATGGGGAGACCGCCCTTTATCCCATGTCCCACAAAACCGAACAGGGTCGGCTCCCTGATAAAGCCACCCATCCCAAACGGCGTGGCCCAATCAATGACCCTCCTCGCCGAGGAGCTGAGCTCAGCCTGGCGCGCCAGGCACCCTCAGAGCCATTCCATTTGCCCAACGTCTTCCCAGGTAACCAAACTACAAGGCGCCCGCGCGCATGAGCACCCATCGGCTGCGCAGGAATGGCCACTTTCAAAACGTGACGCCAACCGCGACGCCCAACTCGCGCTGCCTGCGATCGATTCCCCCACGCGTCGCCGCCGCCGGGTCCGAGGCCCGATTTCCCGCCGCCCTCCATTACGCATCAACTCGCATTCCCCTGGCGATGGGCTTGCTTGCGTCGTGTGATCAACTTTTCACAGCATGGAAAAGCGTCTCGCATACACTTGCTTAGGAGGGGGTGCCCTTCGCATGATCTGTTTCCTTCTCTCTCTCTGTAACAAATCTTACCCTGGCGTTGGGCAAGGGCGCGAGCACCCCTCCCCCAAGTTTCCCTGAATTGCATTTGCCTTGGCAGATCAGAGGCCCTGCACTTCGCAGGCCATTCACAGGCGTGCACACATCCAAGATGCTCGTTTCTTCCGTGTTCGATCATTTCTCCGCTCGCCAACCGGCCACAACGGCAAAGCGAAAGGCGGTCCACCCTTCTGCGACGCCCGCTACCAATCCTGCTGCGCCACATACTCCTTCGCCATCCACACTGCCCTGAAGGCGCACATCGACCCGCGCCGATCCCCTCCTCTCACTGACCGACTCAGCGAGTCTGCCGCGCCATTGACAATCTCCCCATTTCTTTCCCAGCGGGCACCTTCGCGAAAGCATCTGCACCCTCCCCAGATGGCCTCCTTCCAAACCAACAAGGGGTCCTGCCGAAAACCAGCCAAAGGCCATCGTTCGACAATCCTCGCTCAGCACGGTTGGTACCCGCGCATGACAAGTTTTGATTCACTTCTTTTCTTTCTTGGGAGAATGGGTCTCACCTTTCGGCCAATTGCCGCCCCACGCGGAACCCGATGGCCTCGAGCGTGGACGCCGCGGGTGGCCCCAGCTTCTCCACGGAATACCGTCGCACCGTCTCGATGAGCAGCAGCTCGAGGGAGGCCTCGGCGCAAGTGCGGCCCTTGCTTGGCGCGGCCATCTAGAGGCTGGGAGGGCTGGGAGACGGAGGGGGGGACCCGTCGGTGGGTCGCAAAGTACTGCGGTGACCTTCAGGTGCATTTTTTTGAGTCAGCACGGCTGGGAGTGTTTCACGTTGTTGTGCGTCACGGAGTCATGCCACCCTCAAAATCTTTAGGACCAACAACAAGGCAACTGCCATGCTCAACATGAATTCTTGCAGGGTTGGATATTCCGCAGAACCGTGAAGGCTGATGTGGAAGTCTCCGAACAGGTTTGCACGACTGAGTCAGATATATTGTAATATGTTGGGAAAGTCAAAGGAGAACTTTCTCTTGTGCTTTTAAAACACAGCAGACGCAGTTCCAGCGCCAGCTAACAGTATTGTTGCGGGAGGTAAGTGGCTTTGAGTACATAGTCAAGATTATTAGCGTGCACTGTATTTTCACCTGGGGGTAATTTAGTTTGTTTGTTTGCCTTACATAAATGGATGCATCGACATGACGTCACGGCATCGATCAGTGTAGCGTATCATCCAGTGTGCGAGGGGCACGTCCAGGCCCAACTACACAACTGAAAAACACGCCTCTAATGGCGGCCACAGCTGACCTCGGGGTACTGTCAAAGCACCTGGAACGGATAAGAAAACAAATGCACGGAAACACCCAATTTGAGCGTTTCCTTGTGTTTTGTTTCCTTATCTGTTCCAGGAAAAGTACGCCATCTACATGAGCCAAGGTGCTGCCCGTTTCCTTGGGTCTCTGCAGTGATCGCCTACGTTTAATCAGGAAAGTCCGGGCCATGATTGTGGGAGCTTGAACAAACGTGATGCTGTTCCAAATTGATTGATTGATTGACTGACTGACTGATTGACTGAATGCCTAACTGAGCGACCGACAGACTGGATGATTCATTCATTCGTTCATTCATTCACCGACCGACCAACAGAGTGACCGACCGACTGATATTTTGATTGATTAATCGCCATTCAACGAATCAATCGGTCGGTCGGCCGGTCAGTCAGTCAATGAATCAATCGAAGAGGTGCCAAAAAAATCCGCTGATCAGGCGGGCAACTCAGCCACGTGAGCCTGTTGTACGAGTCCTCCCGCGCTGCAGCCCCGCTGAAAGCAATCATTCAAAGCAATCTGTCCCACACATGTCATGCCGGATTCTGCTTCACAAAATCTGGCCCAAACCCAAGTGGGGTACTGTCAGCATTCGCAATGTTCGGTCTCGATTGTTGCAAGAATGGCATACATGTGTTCGTACAAGCCGCGTTGGATCAACATCTGTGTTCATCCCAGCGTCGGCAGAAAGAAAACAGAGGCAACACTATGCTACGTCAAAACAGATCCAATACCCGTCACTGCCAAAGAATCCCGATTCCAAGTTCTCTGGCCCTAATCCTAGCCCACCAAGCCACCAGAAAGATACAAACGGGGAGGAACACATTCTTCTTATCGGAAGCCTATGACAATTCAACATGCAGGCTCCCATGCCCCACTGTGTTCCCCACCCTTCCTTCCCCTCTGTCCCCGCCCCCCAACCCAAAAGACAAACGACTTTCTCTCACGCAAATAGCTACGCTCTTATTGAGCATCCCAGGGCTTGCATCGAGTCTCCATCATTGCTCTCTAAAACTGCACACTCATATCATATGCACCCCCCCCATTTGCAACCCCTCTTTGTCACAGGCACATTGACTTCCCCTGCATACCCAGATCTCAAACCGCCTGCCATTGTGCAAGTGGCAAGTTCACTTTACTTCAATCACTAGCTTCAGTCACTTGCTAGCTGACAGTCCTGCCACTTGGTCTCGCTGAGCAAGCTGAGAGCTTAGCCTATCATACCACACGAGTGATGTCCACCTCAAGGGCAGTATCACCAACGTTGCAGCAACAGCACCCATCTAGGCATGACGCCCAATGATGTGCAGGCGCCCCCCTTCAAGCCATTTCCATCCATGTCTCATCTTCATCAACATGTGCAGAATTGTGTCTGTGCATAGCACGATGCATCAGGGGGGGCCTGATCGCGCAGCCCCAGCACCACAGTTGTGGCCGTTCTGCACTGGTGGCACGATGCCTATTCAACTTGTACAAGCTTGTGTGCTAGCACTACGCCATTGCATAACATGGAACCACATCTCACATCATGAATGCATTCTTTTTGCACTCTTTCAGTGTGCAGGCAACATCACAGCCTCACAGCACGATCGGCATGACGCCGCTCCACTTCAGGCCGGCCTCGTTCACCCATTTTTTCTGGAAGGCCTCGAACTCTCTTTCTGAGCATTCCACCTTGGTGCAGAAGCTGGAGTCACTGCAGCCCAGCAGCTCGGACAGGTCGATGCTGCCTCTGGCGGTGCATGAACATACTATCAGGATCACGCGACATTCGAGTGACACAGCGCTGCCCTTGCACCACCAAAAATGTAGGTTCCCTTCTAAAGTTGTTACCCAAGACAAGAGAACACGAGACTGGAGGAAAGAAACACCGATTCACACAAAAAGGAGGCAATATGAAAGGAGGCAAGGGACAAGCGCCCAGCAGGGTCACACCTAGCTGTGAAGAAGCAACTAGAGACGCTGCCGTGAGTGCGGTGCGATGAAACGTAGCCATGCCGCGGCCCGATTTCCCGAAGCAGCGATTTTGAAAAGTAGGCAGGGAAGGACAGGACGTCCGCCGTGCCGCCATCCATCTTGTGCACCAGGAAATGCCACTTGCGGCGCAGGTTGGAATCGGTGAACTCCACAATCTGCAACCCCAACGCACACTGATCACTTGTATTGAATATTAAACAACGAGCTTTCCAAGAGCTCACTTGAGCTTTTCAACATACAGACATGCAGTACCTCGTTTGTGCATATCTCTACATTGACTGCAATGCAACACATTGACATCAACATGTTAGATTTGCAGGCCTTTCTCCTGTTAACCCGACGGTATTTAAAATATTCGCCCGGCAATTAACCCGACGGTATTTAAAATATTCGCCCGGCAAGTCAGACATGCGTACATGCAGTACTGCCACAAAGCACTGCGGCAACCCTTGCGCGCGTCAACAGTCGCCCTGCCACGGATTTTTCAAAGTGCGTCATCGTCCCGCCGCCCCGCGCATAGCCATGCTCGCCATGGCCTCATGGGAGGAAAAGGAAACTTTGAGTCGTGGCGATTGGCGTCTCTCGCCCTGGCCGCCGAGCGAGGTTTGCCGGCGCCCGCAGCAAAGCGCGCACAGGGGCGGGAGCCAGACGACTTGCGGTCACGAACAAGGCGACCTGCAACAAGGTTTGCGTCAACCGTTGACAAAGGGCGCTTCGACTGACCCAAGGGACCAGGCACGCCCGAGAGCCAAAAGAACAAGGACCGACCGGGCTTCAACAGCACGGCATAGAGCGGAGCAGGAAGTGGCCAGCGCGGTGGCGGGCAGTGGGATTGGGCGACCAGGGCGGGCGAATCAGAGTGCGGATCTCCCGCCTCGCGGGCGGCGATTCCCGCCACCCACGGAGGCCGTTCCAGCCCATGGTGGGTGGCACGAATGGGCGCCCTAGAAGCGCAGACGACTTGGCCCCCCTCGCGGGTCGCCGGCACCCATTCAGGCCAATCGGGGTAGCGTTCCAAAAAGGCACCCAAGGCGGGAATGGACGCCCACTAGGCGCAAGTCTTGGATGGTGCGCAGCTCCAGAGCTGCCCATTCAAGCCACGCTGGGGGCCTATTGCAAAGCAGTACGCGCAGGAGGAATTGGCCCCCGCAAGGTGCCAATCAGGCCGTGCAGCTCGTGCCTCGTGGGCGGCCATTCCCCGCGGATCACTCGGCGCCTCTTGCGGCTCGTGGGTGCCTATTCCCGCCAGCCGCCCAGGCCACCGCGGGCAGCGGGAATGGAGGCCCGCAAGCAGTGAATCAAGGCGCGCCTCCCCTTCTCGCGGGCGCCCATTCCCACCACCGGTGGAGGCCGTTGCAAGCCAGCGCGGGCAGCGGGAATGGGCGCCTGCGAGGCGCCAATCCCTCAGTGCTTCTTGCGATTGGCGAGCGCTCAAGTGCCCCATAAGGAGGGGCCGTGTCAAGGCAGGGTGGGCGGGGTGTTTGGGCGCTGGTGGGGCGCCTATCGTGTGGCGCAACTCGCGCCTCGTGGGCGGCTACTCACGCCATAGGGAGGCCCATTCTAGGCGATTGGGGGTGGCACGAGTAGCCACCCATGAGGTGCGAAACCTGCCTTGCAGGCGCCTACTCGCGCAACCGCTGGCCTGTTTCAAAGGTGGGCGCCCGGCGTGATTGCGCACCGATGAGGGGCCGATCTTGTGTTGCATTTCGCGCCTAGCAGCTGCCCACTCAGGCCATCGGCGGGGCCCGTTCTAGGCGACCGCGGCTGGCGCGAATGGGCGCCCGCGAGGCGCCTATATTCCCGCACCTCTTGCGCCTCTCGGTCGCCCTCTTTTTGGAACCGGCAGGGGCCATTCCAGCCGACCGCGAGAGGCGCAAACGGGCGCCTGCGAGGCGCCAATCGGGCCGCTCCTTTGGCGCTTCGCGGGCGCCCATTCGCGTCGCCTATTGGCACCATTCTAGGCCACCGCAGCCGGCGCGAATCGGCGGCCGCGATGCGCCGATCCGTGCACACCTCCCGCGGCTCGCTGGCGGCCAGCTGGGCCACCAGTGGGGGGGCATTAGAGTCCCTTACGGATGGCGTGATTGGCCACCCGCCAGGCATCAACCTGGGGGGCCTTTGCTGCCTCCGGCGCCCATTCGCGTCGCTTGTTTGATGGCATTCTAGGCCACCGCGGCCATCGTAAACCGGCACCCGCGAGACGCCGATACGTGAAATTTTTCGAGGGCTTATGGGCGGCCAACCGGCCCACCAGCGAGGGGGCATTCGAGTCCCCCACGGGCGGCGTGATTGGCCGCCCGCGAGGCGTCAATCCGGGGGGGCCACAAAGTGGCGGGCAATCGCCACGTACCCCCCTACCGCTGGCTCAGCCATGGTGTCCAAACTTGGCTGCCCTTATTCCGCTCAATCGCCCACAACGCCTGTCCAGCCGTAGCGTCCGATTCCGCGGCGACCCAGCGACGATCGAGGTGCCAAACTCGGCCAACACACCAGGCGATCCTCGCTGCTGCGATCGCTCCCTATGGCGCCCGTCAATTGGCAGTCAATCGGCAGTCAATCGGCGGTCAATCGTAGGACACCCAAGGCGCCGGCAGCCAGCGCCTGGGCAGCCCCGCCTTGGGCCTCGCCCTCGCCCCTCCCAGCGCGGGCAGCCCGTTGCGGGCGCGCTCCAACGCACACGCTCCTGGGAGCTCGCTCGTGTCCCAGAATGGATGAAAAAACGTTCAAAGGAAAAAAACGCCTCGGAACGGAAAACAGAATGAATGCTAACCTCAACGCAAATCCTCGTCCAAAAACGAAAAAACAAACAAACGGAAACAAAATCTCTCAAGAATAATGGACTCTATCAACAAGATCTATTATCCACCTGCACCTTCACTATGCACCCTTTTGTGGACGCCAAGGAGGACAAGAGTTCGTCACCTAAAAAGACGCCCATTCGCTACTGCTTATTTTTTCTGATCAACCCATTATTTCTCAACACTATTTGATCTTGAACGGGCGCTGCAAAATTACTGCTCGCAAGGCACAAAAGCCAGCACTGTAAAGACTAACCATGCAATGGCCAAGGCACCGACTCTATGTAGTGCACGACATCCCCTCAATACATATAACTAAAACACCAATCCAGAAAATTACATGCCATTGCTCAAAACTTGCCTTCGTTTTCATACTGCAGACACTGTACATATTGGCGCATTAATGGGTGTAGAGAGTGGTACAACAAACGTTGCATTCAATCGTACAATAATTGGTGCACCATTTTACACGCTATTTGGTATGCTTAACTTATTCTAAAAAGTCAAATCCAAGTGACTGAAGGTCACTACGATTGAACATGTTCAACACATGTTGAAGCTAGCTTACATTCAACTACCTGCTAAGGCCTCAAAGGATATTTCTATTGGGCCCTAGCACAATATACAATTGTATGTATTGTGTCGCAACCATTAAGGAACATATGGGTAGCGCAGCTGGCGGCACGATGCCGCAACGTCGGGTTAATTAGAGGACCGCGCTTGCGCAGCGCGCGCGGATATCCGGCCTTGTTTAGTGACGAGAGAACATACTCGTTTAAAATGAACATGATCAACAATTAAGGTGCACATTGGGTGTAATTTGAATTTTCAAGTCGCCTGGAGATTTCCCAGTTCTAAATGCATTCACTGGATTCCACAATTTCACAGTTCAATGATGGTTCAAAACATCATTCTAACTTGGACCACATCATGCCACAATCATGGCGATTTGTGGTCCACTGCTCCATTGTTCCAGCGGACAGGAACAAACTGATGATGTTGGCAAGGGACTACTTGTAAGATTAGGTTGGATCGATGCTTTGTGCCTTACCTCCATTTTCAGCAATCAACTGAAGCACAGATAGTCACAGTTGCGATGCACAACATTCTGGATATAGAGACAAAACACAACAGTGAGGCTAGAAAGGCAGGTAATGGGACAATGGCGATGCGGTCATGGAAATGTTGAAATTGGGACAGTGCAAAGATGGAAATGGACAAGGCACTCAAGCCAAGAGGCAGGAACAGCACCTGTGGGTTGGCAGTGAACACAGCCTTCACTTCCCCAGCGTCCAGCCCCAGTGACGCCAGGAATGCCACCTTGGGCTTCAGGCACCGCTCAGCGTCGCACAGCAGTACAGACAGACATGCAGCTGCCACTTGGCGCACCTCCGCCTCATCCAACCCAACCCCTTGCTCCAAGAATGCCAAGGTCGGTCCCAGCCGCTCTTCCACATCGAACCTCAGGAAGCCCGGGGAGCGGCAGATCACCTCATCAACATATCAACCTGTGAATTTCTTGAATTGCATTCGCTCTGTGTCAGGCACACATTACGATTCTGAGGCCAACACCCAAGTATCACCTGACAGGTGATGTTGGTCTTGATTTCTGACAAACAAAACAACCAAAGAGTTCCTTTCCGAAATCTTGTTCTCTGCTCTCGCATTATCTTTTGCCTGTGGCCCTGGCGTCTAGCAGGAAGTGACAAACATTCATGCACTCAAAATATTCATTTGATCCCCGTTGCAAACACAGGACGGTCATGATCTATTCAAGAACAAATAGGGATGCTGATCTCTGGCAGTTCATCGCCTCTTGAGCACCCTTGCCCGCCTCGTCCCCACAAACAGGCACAGTCAGGGGTGCCACACACACACCTCACCTCATGAGAGGATCGGTTGGGCGAGCGCCCTAGCATGATGGACATTCTGCACGAGCACCTGGACATGAGGCGACGCGTGACATTACCTCGCTGTGGCACCACGCCTGAAAATGCACTTGTGGTTGCACTAGTGGTCTTCCTGTTATGGATGCACTCACAAATTCACATTCATTCACATTCCCGACAGCAGAGTGTCGCTGTTTGACTATCTGACGTCAGCACAGACACGTGACATGACCAGTGTGTCGATTTTTCACGACGCCTGTAAGGATTTTCGTTCATCAACACATCATTCGCACACACACCTCGCGCACCCGCCGCTGGTCGGGCAGCAGCTCACCCAGCCGATCGATCACGGGGCCCATCTCCGCCTCCGCGTCCCTGGCCAGCAGCTCCGGCCACCTGGGCAGCACCTGGCTGGCTATGGCCCTGTCCGTCAAACCCAGGCCCTTCATCCTCAGGATCGCCCTCCCGGCGCCCAGGATCGAGTTGCCCGCCACGGCGCCCGGCGCGCGGTCCAGCAGGCCCAGCACCTCCCGGCGGACCACGCCGTAGGATGTCAAAAAATCGACCCACGACGCTAGGGGCGCCACCAGCAGCTCGGGGGACCGCTCCGCCATGCGCCTCAGCGCGCCCGGCCTGGCGCCCAGTCGCCGGACGGCCGAGAGATTCGCGCTCAGGTCGGCGGCGGCCAGAGATGGGCACCTGGCCAGGAGCCTGCGCACACGGGGCACGGGCAGGCCGAGCTCGGAGGCCAGGCGCGACTCTGCATGCCCGTTGGCGGATTCATGCTCGAGCGGTTGATGGGATTCGCGACCGGGCGACTGGCAAGGTGGATTGGACAGTGATCGGTGCTGGAGGCAGGCGGGGTGGCGCAGAGGGGAGGAGGGGTTCGGGTCGGCGCGGGGGGGGCGCGGGGGGGAGGGCCGCCCGGGGGCGAGGGACGGGGGTGGCATGGGGAATGGGTGAGCGTTTGAGGTGCAGGGCTAAAGAGGTTGTTGGCGGGGCAGGCGCAGCGAAGGTGGGTTTTTTGGAGGCGGTTAGGGGCTCGGGATGGAGGTGGTGGGTGAAGAAAAAGAACTGCGCGCGTTGCTGCAGCAGGTCCTGGTGTTCGTTCGCTCGATCCATTTTTCCTGGTGCCACGTTGTGCTGGGATGCGTTTCTCAACAATTCGACATCAGAAACAGCCACCAAGGCATATCTGAGCGTCCCAGAGACGATGAGGGTCTTCAATACCCCCTGCCAGACATGAAGCCGGCTGAAGTCATATCATTCCTGCCCCTAAGCGGAATAAGGCGGCCTGTGAATCGGGGCAGAAAAAAGCTGCCGTGTGAAACGGAGGAAGCACGTTGTTTTATTCGCACAGCAGCTGCAGAGGTGGGAAACATGCATTGCGGCTCTGAACTGAACAGCTGTCAGAAAGCATCATGCTGCGGAGCACAGAATCAACGTATCCAATCCACTCGATCCAAAATCCGTTTTAAAAGACGCTTCACAAGGTCCCAGTAACAACAGTGCATGTGCCTTAGTGTATCCAGACAAGCAACCAAAACACCCCTGCGCTCTATTTCGGAGCCTCAGCAGCATGTGTGGCAAACAGCAGCATGGCAAAGTGTTCGGCCTTCTTGTCCCAGTGCACTGCAGAGGCGATCATCAGGTCAGTACTGCATGACTGGGGCACGGCCAGGCAGCTTGGCGATGGAGGGGTCTATGTGCGTGAGGTGCTGCAACGAAGGGCATCCACAAAACATCAGCATCACAGCATTCCAAGCAGCTGAAATCAACGCTTGTTCAATGCCCAGGGAACTACAACGTGCGGACAACTCTGGTGCAGTGCTTCATAGGGCGCTCACATATTGCCGTGGAATAGTGTGCACAATGGCATGGCCTCTGGCTGCCTGCTGTGGAGAAACTGCAACAATCTGTGACTTGACCCAGCAGGTGGCCGAGCAACACAATAGATGGCAGAGAAGGGAGAGCATGGAACACAGCACTCGCATTCGGGCCGCTTGCACAAAGTATGAAAGGCACAAGCAAAGGTACTGTGTTGCCCCAAAAGCCTCAAGTGCAATAAAAGCAGATTTCCACCCTTGTCTGACACGGCATTGCTGCTGCAAGGCTGCATTTCAATAGTTTCAATAAATGCAATAAAAGGGTTATCACCACACCCAATGGGAACCTGGATCTCTGGCTTGTGGACCAGGGCCGAGAAAATCCAGCCACCTAGTAGAGAAGCTCGATGCTGGGAGGAATCTGAACAACCTTCCAAACAAGTTGCAAAGCATTGGTGGTGTCTAGGACCATGATCACGGGGCATTGAAAGAGAGGGCTGGATGCTTGGGTGCCTGCAGTTCCCTGTAA